GTTAAAGAATTAATTTTAAGTAACAGGCAATAGTAACATGGTTAAATGTATGGGGAAAAAAATTGTTTTCTTTATCTTAATCAACAAAACTAAATAAATGGAGTAAAATTTTTCTCAACGCAGTATACGTTGACCCCTTATAATGAATTCACCTACTTAAAGGTCTAGTGGAGGATGTTCTTTTTCCAGGTGGATCATCTAAATCAGTGGTCCTCCTAATTGTCAATCATTCTGGTGATATGTTTACATAAGGCCATCCTACGTGCTCGTCCCCATTTTCACTTCAAGTCTGACATGGTTGAAAAATTGCAAATCTTTTGGAAAGTAAGCTTGTGCAAGCCATGCAAACAACAACTTTTAAACAGAGCATTCACAAGGAGAAATGGGCTGGTGCACGCTCTCGCACGCGTTTAATTGTTGTTCCCTCTTGAGAGCGGGAAGTGGGTTGTGCATGTGCTTCTCTGTGCGTTTGACGACTCACCTATTGTTAATCTTTCTTTTTCACTTTTTTGTTTCAGCTGCAAGACGACCATAGAGGCGATTCATGGCCTGATGTCCCAAGTCATTAAGGATAAACTCTTCAATCAGATCAACACGTCTAACAATTAAAGTTGTTGAGTTCAGTAATTTGAAATATTTTTCTTGTGCATTTTTTTCAGATTACAGATGATAATCTGATAAAAAAAATTTTTGATTCAAGAGTTTTTTGTTGTGTGTTTTTTTTTTTTTTTTTTTTTTTTTTTGAGCAAAATCAAACACATCCATAAAAATAAAGTATTAAGGACACCGTAGTGTGTGGGTATCTTTTTATGTAACCTATCAAATTGTAGCTGGGGGTTTATGTTATTTGAATGATGTATTTTAGGTAAACTTTGCTGTCTAAATGCTTGGAATATAAACGGTATAAATTGGCCTCTAAATAAACATGTTTTAAGGGTAAAACTTTAAAATAACCCACTGTGGGTCCCACGTAGCTCCCACCGAGAACCAGTCTGTCATATAAGTGTTGCCTGTCATAGCGTTACATAATAGAATGACGAACTCCAGCCCCTGCTGAGGTTTAGGGGGAATCGCCTACCCTGCCTGGGACGTCCCAGAGGACAGCTTGCCTCTCTGCGTTAGACGTCCCGGCAGAGCGGCCGGTTGCGATGATGCAGCACAGGGGCACAAACTACGCACACAGACGTCCATTCACCTCGCTGTGTCTGCTCTTCATCGAGGCCAGCGTTCACCAAGTCTGCCTCTTTTTTTCCACTGACAGCTGTTTTGACCCACGTTTATGTCACGTCTTGTTTCTCTGGTATTGTAATGTTTTAATGTGTATTTGTAATGTCACATATTGCAGAGGAGAGAATCCCAGTGGACCCGTAGAGATGCCTGGCGTTTGTCATACACATGAGCTATGGCACTACTTGTAATGATTTTCTTGAACTATTATCGAAACAGTCCTCAGCTTGATGGTAGATAAAGTAGCCCCATTACATTACCGGTAAGTTTAATTATGAACAAGATTTTTGCAAAAAACCTTTTGGCTCATATTTTTGACAGATATTTCAATGAATTGCATGGACGTCTGTCACTGCTGATGAAGTATATAAAATATGCACAACTGAAAAATAGTTTTCCTTCCTCACCGTTATTTTAGATCCATTGAAACATGCTGAACTTGTTCAGTATGCAAACAGAGTGATTATCTCCAGATGGACATTTGTATGCATGACTAAAATTGCATTAGGAAAAGCCAGAAATCCATTAACCTTATTTTCTTTGTATTTTAACTCCAAGGTATGTGCCTATTCCTTCAAAGAGTGAACTTTGTAAACGTTTGACACTGCTGTGAGAGCAGATGATTAATGAGATTAGTAGCTATCGAATACGGAAGACGGCCCTGAATCTCAAATGACCCAGGTAAAATGTTGAGATGTTAAGCTGGAGCCAGTGAAGAATTAAGCAGAGAAGGGTGTAAAGATGGAGAATGCAGCTCGGAGAGGATGGAGGTACAACGCTTCCTCTGCACCATGTGCTTCTGCATAAGTAGAGGGAGGTCCCGCCTTCAGGAAGCTCAGGTCGTGGCATGATGTAGATTAAGCATGCAGGGGTCATTGCAAGTGGTGGGTTCCTGGCTTGGTGTGTTTTACTGAAAGATTATCTCAGTAATAGAGTCATGAAAGGAAGATTCTTATCCTGTGAAAGAAAAGGAAATCCTAAAATAAGCAACAATTAAATATATTCAAAGTTTTCACTCTTAATATACAGATGTTTCTCGCATTAATACTTTGTGAAAATTTGTGAAAGGGCAATAATTTACTATAACTTTTCTTTTTTTTTTTTTTTTGGTTTACAATTGAATATCTAAAACTTTTTTGAAGCCCCCTAATTCAGAAAGACTCCACTCATCCACTTGGTCAAAAACTCTCCATTCATCTGAGCTTAATCTATTTTTCAGGGAATCAGTAAATATAAAGCGTGTAGATGCATGGCTGCAGTCATATTGACATAAATCAAAGTTTGCATCTGCAAAATTTTGAACCAGATTGAAGATATTCAAATTTATTACAGCTGTATTTATCTGTTTCATTCGTGTTTTATTTATGATTTGATTAACGCTAGTAATTATTATTTAAAATGAGTCAAACATGTCTAATGTCCCTGGATAATGAATAGCTTTATTTGATCTTTTGTTAGATATTTATTTAGTAACTTATTTCATATGTTTTTTTTTATCATAGTAATTATTTTTTCTTATTATTTTAGGTAAATAAAATCAAATTTATCAAACAGAAAATACAACTTTTCCATGGGAACACAAGGAAATTTTAGTTAAATTAAATAACTTGGAAGTTTTTCTTCATTCAGTGCAAAGCTTCAAGTTCTTCCGTTTTCTAAACATATTTTAAATACTAAACTATTGCCCCGTTTTTCTTTGATGCTTTTCTTCGCCCCCCATGAAAACACGTAACAAGATAGAAATTAATACGTTTTCCAGTTAAACTGAGAAAATGTAAGTAAATTACAACGAAGACGAATCAGTTCGATTTCTTGCGTAATGCTCTGGAACTTCAGTGGCGTTGTTCCCATAGCAACCACGTACGAGTATCAAACAAAGTAAGCTAGCTCGGGACCTCCTTTCCAACAATTAACGCCTCTGTTTTGCCTGACTTTAAAGGTATCAACTGAACTTAACCAGAAAGAGAAATTAGCTTGTAACTTTTTTTGTGAACGAACTTTATGTTTTTCTTCTATTGTTGTCTTTTAATTCGTGCAAACATATCTAGGTCGTTGGGCCCTGCTTTGAATAAGGCAGGAGATGTAGCCTGTTTGAAGACAAATGAGAGAAATAAGGATCCCTGTGTGTTTTTTAGAGGTTTAGTCATGGAGGGCATTTGATTTAAAGATTTTCCAGATCTGGATAAATATGGAGAGAGAACTTAATTGAAAAATATTTCTATTTCCTAAAGGTTTTTTCTCTTTCTTTCCTGAATTATATGGATGTTTTACAGAATGTTTTCATTTAGATCCTTAGTTACCATTGTAATCATTTAGTGTTAAATGTTATGCTTTGTATGTATTGCTCTTTTCTTTATATGGTATTTTTATTTTTGATAAGATATTTTTGTACATGTTCTAAATTAACCTGTTCATGTTTTTTTTTGTCTTGATGTTATATTTTTTATCTTTTAAAGGTGTAATTATGGATCTTTTCCTACTTCTCTTTAACCCTTTATAGGGCACTCAGTGAAAAATTTTTAAATATTTAAATTAAGTAATTTTCTCTTAAAATAAGTGCTTTTTTATTGAGCAACTGAGACACTTTGCAAATGGAATAAGAAAAGTTACATTTAAAATAAGGGGAAAAGTGCATGTGTATCAAATAATCTGATTTTAAGGATAAAAATGCTCCTTCCACTGGGAGATTTTCTTATTTACCTACTCAAATTAAGGGTAAATGCACTTATTTTAAGACATTTTCACAAATTTTTAGATCATTTTTGTAGTGTGTTATTGGAATCTAGGACAAGACCTTATTATCTTTGTAACATTAAAAAAATATGGATATTTTGATGGCAAAAATGAATGTCAATGTAATAACAAGAAATGCTAACTTGCCTGAATACATTAAGAAAAAAAAAGTGCTTCTATAAGAAATGTATGAAAAACACTGATAGTAAAAGATACAATTTTTTTAGGTACAACATAACCTTAGAGGCTTATTAACCCTTTTTAACTTTTCAATTAGCTTTTTACCTTTTTTTCTTGATTTGTTATTCTTTTTTTCCAACTTAATTTACAGTAGGTAATATATCATTCAAGGGCTCATCTAATTGGTCAAATGCCAAAATAAAATGTACAGCCACGTAGCAGTATCTTTGCTGAATGGCTGGATATCTTGTGCTTCTAGACCTCACTGAGGGATGGGGGAGGGGGGTGATCAAAAACAGCAACTTGCCCTATAAAGGGTTAACGCTCATTTGAGATCTTTTTTTAATCTTAATTTTTTGAGTTAGTTTATTTTGAAATTAATATGAATCCCTTTTAACTTTCTTATTATATTGTCAATAATTATATAACTGACCCCCCCCCCCTCTTTCTTTAGCCTAAATAGAGTAGATCATATTTCTCTGATCACACCAGGACCTCCCTGGACTTTTTGGGCCCTCTGGCATGTGCCTAAAGGCCAGTATAGTAATCTGTCAGTAGCTACACATGCTGACAGCTGTTTATTTAGCAGGTGGGGAGGTGATGTATAGTAAAGCCTATTCTAAAAGCAATGTAAAATTAAAGGGCAAAATTTAATACCTCAGTTTAAAGTCAGGCTCATAAAAAGGTCCCTTGGGATCTAAACCTGAGGAGGGAGAGGAAACTGCTCAGACAGTGTGTGTGTGTGTGTGTGCGTCTTTAGAAAAGGTTTGCCTCTTGGAGTATGTCGAATGTTTTTAACAAGTTCATTTTTGTTGAAATTTGAGATAAACAGCTTTAATTAACAATTTATATGGATATTAATTCAATCAATATTTCTGTATTTTTTTCTTAAAGTGGGCTCACTTCACTGCTATGGGCTCTATGATTTACTGAAGATCCTGCCTGAAGCTGAGCCGAGCCAACATGGTGTGTCTGACTGTGGATCTTATAGCTAAAAAACAATTCAAAAAGAGAAGCGGCATCTCCGTAAAACACTATCTGAAGACACTCACCCATCTCTACTTTTCCAACAAGAACATCGAAGAGATTGTGAGCAGATAGACATCATTGCCTATCTTTTTTTGCTTCTGCCTGTTTCCTATTCCTTTTTAATTTCACGTGTACACACACACACACATATATATATATATATATATATATATATATATATATATATATATATATATATATATATATATATATATATATATATATATATATATATATATATATATATATATATATGTGTGTGTCTTTTTTTTTTTAGGGAGATCTGTCCATATGCAGGAACCTCACTGTTCTTTACCTGTATGACAATCAGCTGACAAACATTTGCAGTCTGAACTTTGCCTCCAACCTCACCCACCTATATCTGCAGAACAACAACATCACTCATATGGATAATCTTTCTAATCTGCAGAGACTCTCCAAACTGTGAGTGGGTTTAATAATGCCTGCTCAATCTAAGCTCAGATTTGTGTGCTCCAAACAACCTGGATGTGTGTTGGTTTAGGTATCTAGGTGGGAACAGAATTGCAGTGGTGGAGGGTTTGGAGGAGCTCCACGGGCTCAGAGAGCTTCACCTGGAAAATCAAAAGCTGGAGCAAGGGGAGCAGTTGCTCTTTGACTCCAGGACCCTCCTCGCCCTTTCTGTATGACCTGCATTTCACACCGCGCAATACAGAAATAGCCACACAGTTTGCTCTCTTCTTTATTTATGTGTTCTTAAACACTGATGATGTCAAAGAGACTTCTGCTGGTGAGGGTTTACGCTGATTCCTGTCCAAGCTCTGCATAAACACGGCAATGAGTCTGTTTGTTTGGGTAGCTTAAAGAAATAGCCGAGTCTTTGCAAACTGACAGCTAACACTCAGAAATGGATATCTAGCACCAGCAGTACCTCTGATATAAAAACACCAACATATTTAAATACTTCAAATTAACAAAAGAGCCTGTCAAAACTTCTATCATGAACAATAAACCTCTGTGTTTTTTCTTAAAATATGAAATCCTACAATCCATTTTAGTTACACTTTCTGCCTTATATAACTGTAGGTTTTAATGCTGATGAATTGAGCTATAAATGTATTGGTAACACAACCTTCTTTCTCCTCATCAACACAAATTCTTTGTACAGGAATCTCTATGTGTGCTGAATATTAACAACAACAACATTGAGGACATCAGAGAGCTGTCGGTGCTGAAGGAACTCCAACATTTTTCTGCTGCTATGAACAAACTGCTTAACATTACGGTAAGCTTTTAAGACATTTAATTTCAAAACACTTCAGAGAGAAATTTCAATCAAATCAGAAGAATTAATTATAAGTTTTCTACCTGATGAAACCCAGTTGATTGCATGCAGTCAATCCTATGCAATGTCATCACACTGAGCACTCAGCGACAGAGGAGGGGAAAAACCTCTATGTGATAGACCAATAGTAGCAAAAAGAAACGGATGAAGATTAAATAAAAAAGTGGTTTCTTTTGATTTTTTTTTTTTGTGGCAAACATATGTATTCAGCCCCCCGAGGGACAACGCTATTACTATAACCATATTTTGCTGCTTTAAAGTTGTTTATTGAAACGCTTGCTCAATCATTTTTTCTTATTAGCTCCAGGTCCAACAGATTAGGTGAAGAGCATCTGCAAACATTAGTGTATAAGTCTACCCTAAGCTTTTAAACTAGATTTAACTAGACCATTCCAGCAAGTTGTATTAGCTCATAACACAGAGTTCTCAGTGTTTTTAAATGGTGGAGTTACCTCCTCAGTGTGCTTTCCATGGACCTGCAGATTCAATCAGACCAGCCTCCCTGTCTCTGTTGAAGAAAAGAAACCCTGGAGCATGATGCTGCCTCTACCATGTCACCCTCTGGGGTTTCTTTATTTAAAAATTATGGCATAGCTTTTTTTTCTACAGAGAATAATAACCTACTTGCCTTCTTCTGGCTCCCTCGCACCGATACTATCTTCATACCTACAGAAAATTACATGTCTTCTCCATAACTCCTTGCTCATCATGATGCGGTTTCTTCAATAATCTTTTATAACAGCAGACTTTCTTTTCTTCTGTTTTATTGCGCTGAATTTTATTTCAGGGTAATCGGGCTGAATACGAATGCATGCCACCCATTAAACACAACTTTTTGTTGTTCTGTCACATATTGTTTGGTCACAATAATGGTCGTAAAGTGTAAAAAAAAAAAAAAACTCAAGGAGTGTAAATACTTTGTCAGTGACCTTTAACCCTTTATAAGGCATTTTACAGTTTTTGATCACTTGCATACCCCTTAGAAATGGAGCCCCCCCTGTCCCTCAGTGAGGTCTAGAAGCACAAGATCTATATCCAGCCATTCAGCAAAGATACTGCTAAATGGCTGTACGTTATCTTAGCATTTGACCAATTAGATGAGCTTTTGAATGATTTATTACCTACTGTAAATTAAGTTGGAAAAAAAGAATAACAAACCAAGAAAAAAAGGTAAAAAGCAAATTGAAAAGTTAGAAAGTAAAGCTAAAAGGTTAATAAGCCTCTAAGGTTATGTTGTACCTAAAAATATTTGTTTTTTTCACTATCAGTGTTTTTCATAAATTTCTTATAGAAGCACTTTTGTTATTTTTCTTAATATATTCAGGCAAGTTGGCATGTTATTGCCATCAAAATATCCATCCATCCATTTTCTGTACACGCTTGTCCCAAGTGGGGTCGCGAGGGGTGCTGGTGCCTATCTCCAGCAGTCAATGGGCGAGAGGCAGGATACACCCTGGACAGGTCGCCAGTCCATCGCAGGGCAACACAGAGACACACAGGACAAACAACCATTCATGCACACACTCACACCTAAGGACAATTTAGAGAAGCCAATTAACCTAACAGTCATGTTTTTGGACTGTGGGAGGAAGCCAGAGTACCCGGAGAGAACCCACGCATGCTCAGGGAGAACATGCAAACTCCATGCAGAAAGACCCCAGGCCAGGAATCGAACCCAGAACCTTCTTGCTGCAAGGCAGCAGTGCTACCCACTGTGCCACTGAGCAGCCCCGACCATCAAAATATCCATATTTTTTTAATGTTACAAAGATAATAAGGTCTTGTCCTGGATTCCAATAACACACTACAAAAATTATCTAAAAATGTGCGAAAATGTCTTTAAATAACTGCATTTACCCTTCATTTGAGTAGGTAAATAAGAAAATCTCCCAGTGGAAGGATTATTTTTATCCTTAAAATCAGATTATTTGATACACTTGGAAGTTTTCCCTTATTTTAAATGTAAATTTTCTTATTCCATTTGCAAAGTGTCTTAGTTGCTCAATTAGAAAAGCACTTATTTTAAGAGAAAATTACTTAATTTAGATATTTAAAAGTCTTTCACTGAGTGCCCTATAAAGGGTTAAAAAGATACAAAGTTGTTTTGATAAGAGAGGACATGTAAGAATGGAGTGCCGCAATGTAAGAAACATCCAAACATGATGTATTAAAATGAACATGCCATTCATTAGCTGATGAGGTTAGCTCTGTTATTGCTCTGCAGCTTTCTGCAGCCGTCTGTGAAATGATATGGAGAGCAGGGCTTGTAGGGAACCAAATCCCGCAGAATTCCTACCCAGAGGTTCCCAGTCTGCACGACTCGAAAGGATCCAAATTATGCAGCAAATCAGCAAGCTGCTCCCCAGGGACATGTCTCTCTGACAGCTTTTAACAAGCACAAGTTTCTCTCCTTCCTTGAGGGGCTGTTTTTTTTTCTCCCTTCACCACCCTCCTGAGTTTGATATTGTGAACTCACAGAAAACCGACTAATGAAGATATTACTAACTTGTAAATGTCTTGAATTGGTTTAGCAAACAAAGGAGCTGAAAGTTCTAAAACTCCATATTCAGACACTACTTTAGAACTTGATTATTTCCTAATGCAGATAAGTGTCTTTTTTTCCCCCGTTGATGTGCTTAATTGTTGTATAAGTGTCACTCCCAGCACATATCTCCTATAATTTATACAACCCGTCTGCCACTATTGATTGTCAACGACAGCTCTCTAAAGGATCAATTTATTTTTCTGCCGCATTTGGTGAAAATCCTGAGGAAACATAGATTTTTAAAATAGATTATGACAGCCAGTCAGCCAGGGTGACAAATGGGGAGCATCTTCAGAGGCTGTTAGCTGGGAGCAGGGGCAGAGAGGACAGAGGAATCGAAGCACTGGTCAAACACAGGTTCATAACTGGACGATCATTAGTTCAGTCAGGAGAGCCAGCCAAGCTTAGTGAGTCTCCAGACTGTGCTGCTCCACACGCCCCCGCGTTGGGGGGCAATTTGGCGCTGGGCTCCTCTTCAGTGAGGGCCTTCTGAGTGACGGCCCTGACATGATCATTTATCAAAGCCTGGGAGCGCGTGGTGCTCAAGGGGTCTCCTCTGAACTGATTGCAGCTCAGGTTGGAAAAGTGGAAGCGCTTTGGCCAAGACAGGAAGGCAATGAACAATCAGAGCGTGTCCAGAGAGTATTCATATTTCCAGGCTTGGATTAATGTGCCTTTAGATAAACATACAACTGCAGGCAAGTCGCTGGAGGAGCCAGCCTCATAACGCCCTCAGGAGAAAACTTAAGAGTTACATGACACCGGCGACACTGTTTATTAAAACAGACTGATGTGTTGTTTATGCCTTTTCCTATTGGCTTGTACCCCACATTAACCTTCATTTATACCACTTCTTTGAGGCTCATCTATGATTTTCTATCACATTGCAGGCATGCATTTTGTTCACAACCAAATTTAAATGGTTTTATCTCAATAGAGACATTGATGCGGGTGTTTGAATCAGCAGCAATTAAAACAGAACATGTTGGTTTTGATGTTTTCTGTCCATTTGCAGGAGCTGGAGGCTGTGCTGGAGCTGTGGCCTCAGCTGCTCACACTGGATTTAACTGGAAATCCTGTGTGCAAAAAACAAAAGTACAGAGATCGCCTTATAACCGTGTGCAAAAGTCTTGGTAGGTGTTTTTACTTTCCCTTCCAAAGAACAAGAATACAAAATTAAATGTCTAAAACTAGTTGTCCAGATATGCATAAAAAATATAGAAACACCGTAAAAAAGATCAAGTTTATTTTTCTTATAAATGACTCATTTGTTTCTATAGAGACCCTTGACGGTCGAGACATTAATGAGCTAACCAGGCAGTTCCTTATTAACTGGAAAGCATCAAAAGAAGCCAACAGGAGAAGAACCAATAATCAGATATTGGCTCGGACCAGAGGTAATTAAATCTTTTATCCTATTAAATCACTTATTACTGATCATATTTTTTATATATATAATATATCTTCCTTTTTATTTTCCCACAATCCTCAGTGTGGCAACAAAAAAGCCCAATGCTGATATTGATGACTTTCACTATAATATAGAATAGAAACCGGAAAAAAGTGACGTGTAAGCTTTATGTTAGACCCCCCCACCCCTCATCCCCCGCCCCACACATGTGTTTCAACACGCAGTGTTTCTCCTGTCTATGTGACTTTGTATATGTTGCAGATCCCACTAATGTGGGTCAGGGTACACATCCTGGTCATCTCTACCGGCCTGCTAACGCGCCGGGCTGGCAGCCACAGCAGCCTCCTTGCTCCGGTATACAGATTCATCAAACTCAGCGTTTAACTCTGTTCTCTTAATGTATTAATTATTATTATCCATGTGGTACATTCAGAATTATATTAGGTAGAACTGGTATGACCTAACTGAAACACTGATTTTTTTTATTTTTTTATTATTATTATATTATTGCACCTTCCTCTATAGAAATTTGTTTCTTTTTAATATTAAAATAAAATGCTTTTCATTTCTATTTGAAGAAAATATTTTTAGAGCAATTAAACATCTTTTCAATTTTTTTTTTTCTATTCACAGGGCTCAGTCATGTAGCTGACTCATCACCCATCTGAGGTCCTGAAACACCATAAGTGAATTATTCTGTAAAACTGATCATATTTATTTAACACCACATCTTCTAATAATTTACATTTTAAAAGCGAACAAAGAAAAAAAGGAGCTCTTCTTCTCGTAGCCTCTATTTCTGATTGGATTAGAAATTTCTGTAGAAATAAATAATTTGCACAACTTATGCTGTTCATTGTATTGTGATTTTTTTTTTTTTTTAGAAATGTGTTTTTGTTAAATGAGTGAACCATAAGATGCAAAATGGCACAATCTAAATGATCCGCCTGCCTTATTATTACAAGCCCTAAGCTAACAACTCATGCTTCTACTCAAACAGCTCTGATAAATGATCTGAAACAATAAGCTGGTATTTATTGTCATCTGAATAAGGCTTTAGGAGCCACGTGGCCGGGTAACCCCTGTAAGAAGCGGGTAATTAGGGGAACAAGCTTACTTAACCTTTTAAAAGTCTGCCTCATAATTAGTTGCCTGGAGCAGCACTGTTACACCATCCCTATAAAAACAATGTTTATGGAGGCCAGTCTGAGAATATACATAATATGAATAATTCCTTTCATTAATTCGCAGACATCTCCGTTTGGAGCCCTGGAAATCAGAGTGATTAATTTATGGGTCTGGGAAGAATTTCCTAAAGGCCCGCCTGTTGATTGCAGAGCAGGACTTTATTTATTAGTCGATCCAATGAGCTTGCAACTCAGCACAGCCTGGCAATATGTCAAAAAAATGTTTTCTTTTAATATCGTCTTACAGTTGTTCTGTTTGTTTTCGTACAACTCCTGCAAACAGCAGCCTAGGTGCATAAGATGAGGGTTTTTTGGGAGGGGGGGTCTAAATGTAATCTTTTTTGATAGGCTCCCCCCTGCAGAAAATATACAGCAGCGTCAAGTTCGCAGCCAATTGGAGAGGGTTAGAGGGCCCTCCGAGTTAAAAAGTAGAGAGCCCTCCCTCTGGCGGTGAAGTTCAGCGAAGAGCTGCTCTTCAGATCTGTGGGAGGATGTGGGCCGACTGATTATTTATGTCGGAGAGAAGTTGTGCCGCGTGCTTCCAATAGACTCCGGAGACTTTTACGCACAGGTGAGGAGCTGGATGGGCGCATCTGGACAGCTTAAACTGGGACTGCGCAATCTGAAGATCAGAGGGTTATTTTGGAGAGGATTCATGACGGATAACAACCCAGAGCTATAAATACAAGAGGTAAAATTCATTTGTAGTTATGCACTAAAAGTGTGCATCCGAGTGTTCAAATCATATTTGGATGCATAATTCGATTTTTTAAAAGTTTTTATTTTAATTTGCTTTAACAACGTTAAATACATTTAAAGTGGAATTACTGTAGAGTACAAAGTTAACAGTTTTATTAATAAATAAATACAATAAGCTGGCGTCAGTAAAAAAAAACACATCTGATTTTTGACTATACAGATTAGTAACGCATGGTGGGGAGTCAGGCGCTCCAAATGGACGGTGGTAATTGCTCCAGTTCGGTGGTGGATGTGGATGACAGCCCGGTTTCCAGCCCCAGCTCCAGTCCCAGTCCTGACGGCCGTCGTCGCGGTGAGCTCCACCGGGCCAGGGCGCTCCAAAGCAGCGGCGCACTGGGCGGCAGAGGGCGGCCGGCGGCCGCTAACGCAGCGCGGGAGCGCAGCCGGGTGCAGACCCTGAGGAACGCCTTCTTGGAGCTCCAGAGGACTTTACCGTCAGTACCGCCGGATACCAAGCTGTCTAAACTGGACGTGTTGATACTAGCCACCACCTATATTGCCCATTTGACTCGAACACTGCAGGAGGAAGGAGCAGAAGAAGGAGAGAGCAAACAAACAGAGGCGTTACACTCACTGAAAGGTGAAGGATACCTGCACCCTGTGAAGGTCAGCATCATCCTCATTAAGCAGCTACATGTCTCTAATCTTTATTTGATTTTTAAACTGCAACTTAAAATAATTAATTTAAAATGTGTTTTTACAGAAATGGCCAATGCGATCCAGATTATACGTGGGAGCAACTGGACAGTTCCTGAACAATCCTTCTGATTCAGAGAACCAGGGCCCATCTTCCTCCTCTCAATAGGCCTAAGCAATGGGACATTTGCATGAGCTTCCAAAAAAAAAAAATCTGATTGTCTTTCCACTGCAGCTCTAAAATGATGTAAATTAATATATTACGTGACTTTAATTGTATATATATATTTTGAAAACAAAGCATGTATTTTGTTGTCATTTAGTTGATGAATGCGCCACGCAGTTCCACGCACGTCCCAAAGTCTGATCTCTGCAGAAATTCCGTGGAGTCCGTCATGCTTGAGCGTGCACTTTGACTTGAGACATTTGCACTAAATGCATGTGTGAATAACTTAGAATCCGTCATGTGAAGTGGTCTGTCAGAGGGTCCGACAAAAGAGGCTCTCTATCTCATGTTTCTTCTTTTCTTTTCTTTTTTATATGCATGGTTGTAAATGTATTTGTGTGTGTGTGAATAAATTAGAAGAGAATGCAAGGAAAGTCTCTAAAGATTTTTAGAAAAGCATAGCTTGTTACTTTTAAAATTTGGACATTGTTTTTTTTTTATAATACTGGTTTTATAGCGTGCTATTGCATTCAGTCTAATATAGGCTTCCTTTTGTTTAATATAATCAAATATATAAGAAACAATATTTGCAAATATGTTTGGTAAGGTTTTGAAATATTGCATTACAATGACAAGTAAATGTAAATTAAATCTGATGTATCCAGTAGACCTAACTGGAATAACACTTGGAGGGCCCCAAGAAAAGAAAAGAAAAAAAAAGGAATGAATAAATACATTTAGCATATTTATTTATGGTGATATTTAATATATTTAGAGGCTTAGATTTAGCTGTGATGTAATTTTAAACGTTAATGAACCAGAGCGTTGGAGAAAGCTTATGTAACAAATGTTTTATTTTTATTTTTTTTTATTAATGCTTCAACAATATTGACGCAATGATCGATCATGATACCAGATTGTACTTTGTTTTATATTTTACTGATATGTTAAATTCTTTTTGCGCACTGAAACAATCTGAATAAGTGATGCAAACAGCCTCCTTCACCAGTTTTTATTTTGTTTATTGTTAAAATATAAAACAGGGTTCCTGCTTAATATTCAAACTGCAGCTGTAGATTGGAAATGTTCCTATCATTTATTTGCTTAGCGGTGATCCGTCTTATATCGGCGCAATGCGCAGCTCTGACGCGCAGGAACCGGAAGCTGTCTCATTCACCGCCGGCCGGGCATTAAACCAGAGGAGTCCCACCACTGCATCGATGCCCATCTCTACCTATACTGCTCTGTTCTATGTGAGCAGATGTGAGTTTTATCTACAAAATGTCTTTATTTGTTTGAAATGTTGTAATCGATCTTGTTTTTGTTTGTTTTGTTTTTTTTTTCCACCGGCAGTTAGCTCTTAAGCACGCTGTTAGCATAGACGGCATCCCGGCCACGTGGCGAACCGAGCATAGCATGCGTTTTTCCTTTGAATGTTACACTTATACATCTAAAAATAGGCTTTTTATTGGTGATAAACGAAACTTAAAGGTATTACACTGATAATTTGAAATATTGGGTATGATTCATACACTAATTTCAGTGAATGTCGATGAGGTTCTGTTTGATCAAATTGTGATTTGATATAAAGTCGTGATAATGTTTTAAGTGTGAAGCTACGGAAGGGGGTTAGGGCCACTGAAAAAAGTTTACTTATTTAAATTTTATTTCAGTATAATATGAATTCTGACTTTTCCCCTCAGAATTCTAACTTTAATTTCAGAATTTTGGATCTTAATGTAGATGGGCACCATGAAGGAAGAGATGTTTGGTTGGTGGAAAATCACGCAATTAGGTGACTTTATAAATGTTTGAGGGATCCCTGGTGATGCTATTTCCATATTAAACTGAAATATTTCAAAATCTGTTCACTTTAAGTTTTTCAGTGGCCCTAATCCTCTTCCGTAGAATCGGGACTGTAACGTGTACACCCCAGTTATTCAGCGTTTTGTGGAAAATGTTGACTTTTCCCGAAGGACGGTGATAAATCATCTTTTTGACACTTGGAAGGAGGAAAAGCATCCCTTGTTGTCCATATTTAATTGTGAGCAGAGACCCATTGTCCAGAAAGTCCTCTCAGAGTAGGGAAGGTCATTTTAAAAGTTGTGACCTGCTGTTGAACCTGTCCTTAAGATTAGCCCTGTTAGCTGTGCTGCCAAGCTGTGTTAGGCCTTACCCTTTGACCTTTAGGTGATCAGTCATATCTTCACATTATATTGGCAGCTCATTCAGTATATTTCAACCTTCCAGGCACAGGATGTGCCATGGGGATTAGTTCTGTGGGCTTGGAAACTTGGAGCACTTACCTTTTCCTTTTGGTGTCCTTATCTTAGACCCTGTCTGCCAGTCTGGACCCTGTGGATCTTTATGGTTAGTTTATAACATTTCTCTATTCTGCTATTGCTGCAGTAGTGATGAGTTCACTTTTTGCCGTTTACCCATCAGACAACAAAATGGTGATAATGTGACAAACTGATATGCCAGCATGATAAAAATTAATTTATGGCTAGTAATGGGATAAGTAGTTTTAGTTTTAATTTAATTCATCCTATTTATCTCCAATAATTTAGATTTCTTATGGCTGACCAGATCATCAGAGGTGGAAGCCTTGTTTGCTTCCAGTACAAGGTGAGTAGTCTTCTAGCTTCATTTCTTTTGTTTTTTACACAATGTCAAAAATCAGATAGATCAGAGCAGCCATATTGTTGTGACCATATTAAATTAGCAGGGATCTTTAGAAATGCTGAGGGTTGCTTCCCCAAAGTAGGAAAAAAGCCACAAAAAAAATATTATTTTTTTTATTTTTTTTTTACAAGTTACAGATTAAAAGCAGTATCATTAGTCAAAGCTGGAGTAGTGATGAATTCACCTTTTCGCCGTTTACCCATCAGACATTAAAGTGGTGAGATGGTGTCGACTGAACTTCCAGCAGCGGTTTCTCTTGTGGTTTTCCTTCAATGTTTTGGTTATTTGGGGAAAATAAAAGATAAAGCCTAATTTTTTCTTTTGCTTTGCTTTTCTCCTAATTCTTGTGAAATGCTCTGATTTCTGCAGGTGATTGTTCGCATCATTTTAGTAAATCTCTGATGGTAAGTAATTACTATATTGTACTTTTCAGTCGGATTAATATTTGGAGTTGTAATGATGAGTTCCACTTTTCGCCGTTTACCCACCAGACCAAAAAGGGTTGTTGAAAATGTGACAAACTGAACCACAACTTAATACATGCATTATATATTTTGTCAATAGATGTTTGACTGATATGACTTTTTTTATTTCAGCAGAGCTTTGCAACCAGTTGAGTTTTTGCCCATTCTTAAGGAGGTATGTGAATTATATAAACTCTAATGGATGTTTGACTGAAAATGTATATAAAGAGAATATTTTTTAAGTGATTCTCATTTAGCCATTCTGTATAGCCTGTTTGTTCTTGTTTTGTTGTATTTTAAAAGTTAGCATTTCTTCCTTTTGCCTTTTAAGCCCACACCTTTGTTGTTGTATCCAATAAAATGTTTAACATCAACTGCTGCAATCTGAGACTTTTGATTCCTTTTGGTTATTCTTCTTACCTTGGGATTTATAATAAGAGGCGTTACTCCTCAGTAATGTACTCATCAGCTCCTGGTGCAAATGTGTAGACAAAGCGTAGGATATCCTGGTGGAGCTCATCCAGGACTGCGTCCCTCCTTTGCAGACCCTCCACATTCCCCAAGTCGCAAGGAAAGACTGCGTCTGGTGGAATAATGAGGGCAGAGCCGCCTGGAGGGAGACATCGGATCAGGAGAAAGACTGGGTCTAACCATATTTAAATTTGCTGTATACAGAATAAACTAGTTGCAGGCTAACAAATAGCATCAATCATAATCATGGTGTGAATTAACAGTATAAAGTTAATGGGTATAAATATCAATTTCATGTCTTAGCTCTGTTCATTTCTATGGTCTTAAAAGGTTTGGCACCAATTTTTATTTCTATCACTAAAGCCTTTCCTAAATTTATCAACATAAATCATTCAAACTGTTATACTGGTTTAACTAATTAGAAATAGATGTGCTTCATAAAAACCTTTGAAATGTATATTTAAATGAACAAATCTCTCACTTGAAGCTTATAAACGGTGCCTCACAATTAGAAATATCTGCTTTATATCAGGTTACATTATTTCCCCGGAAAGTCTTAACTGCATGATGGAAAGGAGTGATTATAAAATATTTAATTACACTTATAAGGCAAGTATTTGACAATCTGAACAGGTTGAACAAATCGCAGGTTTTCTAAAGCTGGTAACGTCCTACCAAATGGTCTCTTTCTGGAAGTGTAAAACTTGGCAGAATTTAGATTTTAAATAAATGTTGGGGAAAAGTACAAACGTATATAAAATATATTCTGTTTGGTGAAATAAAAAATTGGGTTGCATTAAGTTGTGATTAAACTGGTAGGGGAATCAACCAAAACTATTACTAGTGAAGATAAAGCCTTTGTCAAAAAAAGGGTGATTTTGAGACATGGAACACTAGTAGGTCTTCGCTTGGAGTTTAGGTTTTGTCTTGCAGTTTTGAACTAAAAGTAAATTTTGTTCAGTTCATTTCTGTAGATGAATGACCAATAAATCATCTGGAGGATTATTAAGACCTCAGAGCATAAAGCATGTTCTATTGCTTAATCAAAATATAAATTTATATCGCAAAGAAATTAACATTTGGTTACAACCTTTACTTCCAGTTACTCCTAAGACCAGAGACATTACAACAGTGTCTTTGCCAAGATAAAAAAGGACATTGTTAAGGGGTTAAATGTCCTTTTTCAGGTTGTAAGTGAATCTAGTATTGTATTTGGACATTAAGGTTTTGTAACAGGGAGGCACATTTGCTGGTGTTTGTCCACTGTCTCTGGTCAACATAGACGTGGGAGAAGCAAAATAACTGCTGGTGAAAAACACTAGAGATACCCTGCAGAGAAATAAGTGGTGTACATGACGGAAGGATCCTTGGATGGACTTGGCACCTGCCGACATTTTTAATACTACCATCAACCGGTATGGTTTTGGTATTGGCAGCAAACCCTCCTGACCTAAACCACTCACATCTATGGATTAAAGTTAAATGAGACTCTGGATGCAAAGATGTGCAGAAGCTGCAAGACGCAATTAAAACATCACAACAGAGCAACAGATGATGGCCCAGAGCATGATGGCCTCCACGCCACGGTTAAAAAGAGCCCTGACTTTACTGTACAGCACAATAGTCACGCATGTCTTTTTTAAAATCTTGATCTTTTATATTTTATTTTGGGTTTTCATTAGCTATAAGTCAGGGGGAAAAAAGAGGTCATATGTGGATGCACTGTATATATTCCATGCACCTTTTTCTTTTTTGACTATTTGAGCTGATGTATCAAATACATTTCTCCACTGTGAGATCAATAGAGTCAACAGTAAAGTGAGCAGAAATATACAGTGTGTGGATTTAATCTGTCCCTACCAACAACTAATAAAATAAATATATATATATATATGTATTATAGTAATAGTATAATTCACACCTAGATGATGATAATATGAAAAAAAAAAAAAAAACATCACTACCATGCTTGAGAGTGACAGAGTTTTCACACAGGAGCACAGCAATCACTGCATCCTCCTCCAGTACTTTAGTCCTGAGGCATAACTTGCAGTGGGCCTCAGCCAATGACATCCTGTGATCAGAGAGTTATAGACAATCCAAATGAGAGCATGGATGCTTGGTGACGTTAGGAAAACTAAGTGGATAAAAAAAATCTATCATTTAAGATTTGAATGCCTGGATATACGCTGCTGGAGGCTGTTAAGATTAGATTAGGAGCATAACGTGGCCTCCTTCTCCTTCCTACTTACTGAAAACAGATTTATTTTCATAGCTGTTAGCTCTACATTAAAGTGTCACCACATTGGAAGGGATTTGTAAACAATTGTCATATTTCAGTGAAAAATTATGACAGAAAAATGTTTGAGTTTGTATGCCATCTAGTGGTTGTTAGTGAAATTACACTGCAGTGCATTACTACTTGGAAGGAAAAATGTGAGATGGAGATAATAACAATTAGTGTTTTGCAGGAGGCTGCTTACAGCAGTTTGATCGAGGCCAAAGAAATCTTGACCTCCTGACTCTGTGTCCGAGCTCGACGGCTGGCCATGTAGTAACCATGGATCAATTTCACCGCTTCAGGGCTGAGCTCCACTTTTAAACCCCGAGAACGAGCCACCAACTATAAATAACACAAAAAAAAAAAAAAACCCTAATGCTTTTCAAATAAAAAATAATGAATATTAAATCAATGCATAGAACTTGCTACAAGAACTTAACCTCCTGGAAATCTTCATTAGAAAAGTCCCAGTAAGATGGATGGGTGAGTCTTCCAGGTTGTACAGCTTGCTGGAGGGTGTGGAGAGTCTGGGCCAGTACGCCCTCCTCTCCCACCCTGTCTCCGCACTGAATGACTAAACCAAAGCTTTCTGCCAGCTGCGCCTGCACAGGACCTATTTCCTGCTCACAGAGAAAATAACAACAAACTCAGTGTATACAGTGCTGTTTTTAAGTAAAAAATTATCACCAGCAGTCAATCCATATATGTAGAAATTACATTTGGACTTAAAGCTAAACTTTCTCACACGTTCAAAATCAGATTTCTTTTTCAATAGACCTCATTTAATTTCTAGTTTTAAAAATTCTGATTTCCTTAGACTCCAATTTACTGATATTTAGAGACGTTTCAGATTGCTTTGATAAAGAAATATTGTAAAAATGTAGTTGAACAGTCAAACTGTGTAACAAGATGGTTTATAGGCTTAGTGATATTCGCTGCTTATTTAGCGTCTGAATTCATTAGGATTAGAACAATTTAAGAATCTAAAATCTAATTACTTAGACCGACAATAAAACAAATATTCTATAAATTAGGTAGCTGGTGCTGATGCTATTATTCTATGTTTGAAAAAAAAAGGTATTTTCTTTGCAATTCATGCAAAACCGAAGATAAGAATCACAAATGTGGATAAAAGCCCTAACATATAGTAACTTAAAGACAGAGAACAGCAGCGAAATGGGCCTTTTATCAATGAGTTTCCAGCTAGTAACATAAAAACAAAAAGTCAGGGGCTAGAATGCTAAACTCAAGACCTTTTGTTGGAAATTTAAGTCAAAAATGCAACTATCAAAGGAATCTAGTTTATGGAAAAAAAACTTTACAAAAAATGTTCCATACCTACACATGGAAAATTATAAATGAAATTTCCATATTTCTAAAGACTTAAAAGAATTGTGCAGAAATGTTGTGCTCTTAATCTTTATTCAAATATCTTGTTTCTTTTTTTCCCTTCATGTCATAAAAAGAACCTCTGAGTTGAGCAAAACTCAAAGTACACCAAAGAAATCCAGTTCCCCACAGGAATATTGTTTCCTGATGCCTTTACAACATTGGGTTGTGAAAACACTCACAGCAGCTCCCAGTGTAGTTGAGTCCGTCCTCCCAGACCTCTGAGAGGAGTCTGCAAGGGCCCAGAAACTGCACTGTACCGGAAATGAAAGCTGCTGGTCAGCTTCCTCACCGTACTTCTTTCCAGGGATGAACACAGACACAGATCGGCTCTCCAGAACTGTCAAAATAAAAACATGCACCCCTAAACCATCATTAAAAACAATGAAAACACATAGAAAATCCAAACTTTTACATCCAAACCAACAATACCACACTGTAAGCAGTCCAGTTTGTCCTTCTTGTAACAGGCAAGATCTCCCAGCAGGCAAATGCCCCCCGAGGCGAGTAATGAAGAACCTGCATGGATGTTGGCGGTGCCTGCTCCGTGTTCATCTCTGGACAGCCAGGAAAACATCTCCCCAGAGGGCTGGTGTCTGACCCCGCGACATGCCAAACTCAAACTGTACGTCATTAGCCTAGCACAAAGTGGATGCCCATTAGAGTCAAGCTTTTCATCTAGCTGATTCAACTATAATCAACTCAAAAGAGATTCTTGATCAGGAGTTCTTCACCTGTCTAATACGAGGGTATCAGCTGTGACCACGAGGAGATCCAAATTGTGAAACGCATCATTTTCATCCATTCTAGTCTGCACCGAGCTCAGCAGCAGACACAGTTTAAGTGTGTTGTGCAGGCCAGGAGGAGTCAGGTCTGACCCAAAGCAGTGAGCTAAGATGGCAGGGAACCTCCAGGGAGCAGAGGTCATGCAATGTGGCAGCAGCAGGAATCTGGGGGAGGCTTTAGGGCAGCCTGTGGGCAGAGCTGGGGAACATGATAAATGCCTAATACAGAAACACTGCTTTACAGTATTTATACCCACCAAGCTTCTCTAGTAGTAGGAACATTAGTCAGATGAGATTAAAAATACAAAAGTAGTAGAGTAACACTGCACATTAAAGATCTCAGCAGGAGCCACGCCCTAACCGGAGATGGGTAAAGGAGTCAAAAAGTCTACTTAAATAAGAGTAACATCACTTTAGCATATTTTTACTCAAGTAAAAAGAAATCTAATAAAAAAAAGCATCATATCAAAAGGCTACTCAAATACTTATTGTTCGTAACACCTGATTACATTTGTTTAAATTGTTTAATCAGACTAACAGAAATAAAAAATTGATGTGCTAATTCTAAAAAAACGGTTAAAAAAAAGAAAGAAATGTATTCAAATAAATAATAAAGGAAATTAAAATATTAAATGAAAGGAGATTTTTTAAGAACATACTATCATTGCTAAAAAAGAAAAATTAAAACGTTTTAACATAGTAGTAAGGACGTGAAAAAAATGTACGAAAAGATATATATTTTACATTTAAGATGGAAAACCTACTTTTTTCTCCAAATCTGTTCTTAATGAGCCTATTTTTAGCTTCACTTCTTTCAAATTTTGTTAAATAAATGTCCTGTTGAGCCACTCCTTCTGTCCAGTTATTATTTGATTAACTAAAAAAAAAATTTGATAAATAACTGAGAAGAAAAATAATTGTTACTTGCAGGCTTACAGCTTTAGTGGCTAAGAATGGCTAAAATAAGTTAACTTTACAGTGTGCAGACAGTTAAATAGAAATCTGTTCGTGTAAACCAGTGTGGCTGAGCAGGTGTAATCCATAGAAAATAAAATTAAAACAATGCAGTCATAAAACAAGTCTTATTTTAGACAAACTGTAAATGTTTGTCTTCAGTGTTTTTGGTTAAAACGTGTGAGCTGTTTCTAAGGGGAACTATATCAGAAGCAAGATTGTGCTTAAGTCAGAGTAGCATTTTATTTTTAATTATGTAATATTCTTGTGGGAGTATCATTGCTTTTACTTGAGTCAATTTTCTGGTTACTCTGCCCACTATGAGTAACTTGAGCTATTTGGAGGTCAGGTGAAAAAATACAGTAAAGCCCTGAGGTTTTTTATCATTTCCTGACATATATACATAACCTATTATGATTCCTTTGGAAAATGTATTCTCTCTGCAAAATTTGTTTTATTATGTAATTATGTATTTTATTACTATTTTTATTTCAGTCAAATAAATTCTTGGAGGATTCTACTTTTGCTTGAGAACTGTCATCTTAAAGCAGAGCTACTCTTAGAATAAAATTGTTGGGTACAATACCCACCTCTGGTTGTCTGGCAAAATGTACAATGAAACTATTGGTAAAAGTACATTTTGTTCAGAAGGATACTTTAGTAAAAGTAATCTAGTTACATTTAGAAAAGTTTATCTAGTTTCATGTTATCCTGCTCAACATATGTGAAGGTTTCTATCTGTATGTCTCTATACTAATTTATCCCTCTATCTCTGTGTGACTGGATTAATAATGTTATGTTTCTCACTATGCAGCTCCCACGGTTGGACGCTATTCGCCTCTACACTCCAGGTGATGCTTGGCCACTGATGCACAAGGGCAGGAATGCCAACCACCCTGTAGAGTCGACCGATAGTCATGGAGTGGCACAGCTCATCTGGGGGGGACAGAGAGAGGTGCTCATAACAAAGATTTCTCTATAAACGATCTGCACTGCTAGCTAATGAGTCTACCCCGCATACATTAACATATATGTTTAGTAACAGGAACTGCCTGTGTTGGGTTCCTCCACATCATTAGGTCAACAGAATATGTTAATGCTGCTGCAGGGATTTGTGGAGCTCTCATGGGTATTGCTGGGAAAATATTATTAGAAGAAGCAGAAACAATATCCAGACAGGGGGCAGAGTTAGATGCACAAAAATTAATTTACCTTCATTTTAAAGGTGATGGAAAAAGATCTGACGGTGTGAAAAAATAATGAATTTTCATCCAGAACTTGCTTTTTCTTGCAGGGACACAAGGGGGGGATAGTCACCACCTCTAGTAGTCATTGGATGGTGTGTGGCAGGGAAACACAGGGATTTAAAGGACAAACAGCTATGCACACACCCACACTTAAGCATATTATCAATTGAGAATCCAATTGATCTAAAAAGCCTGTCTGATTTGGACTGTGGGGCGAGACCAGAGTACCCAGAGAACTCTTCCACACACAGAGGAGTATGTGCAGAAAAATGCAGGCCTGCATTTCAACCTAAGACATTTTTGCTACCAACTGCTCCGCCATGCTGCCCACTATTCTAGTTTATTAGTTTATAATTTAATCTAGAAATGCAAACAACTATTCTTCACTGTTCACAAAGTAGCGCCCGAGACCAAGATACAAAGTAAGAGTGTCTTTAGACAACATGTGTTTTGGAGCTGGGCCAATATACCGTAAATAACCTAAATAAATAAAAAAATATGTTGCTATAAGCTTGGTAAAGAATTGAGCAAATCTGTAGAGGTGGTTTGGTCAGATGAGGCAAAACAACAAACTATTACGCACGTTCTGTTGGACAATCGCATGAAATACTTGTGGCTTTAACATAATGTAATATGTGAAAGGTTGATGAAGATTTAAAAGCTTACCTCTCAGAAACAGAGTGACAGATTGATATCTGGATGAACTCTGCTGATGGCCTCTTAGGGCATTCAGTGCTTCAACGTGGATCAGCTCCACCAGCTGTTTATCTGTCTCCACAATAAGCAATAATTAAATATGTATAAAAAAATCACAGTGACCCATTAAAGGTCGGACCCGTTAGGAAAATCCTCTCACCTCCTAAAACTCTGAACTTGACGTCCTCCTTCAGCTGTGAGTGGCAGATCCTGCAGCTGAAGTCGTTTCTCACAGTGGCGGATTCAGTGGCTCCAGGTGCATGAACTCGGATGTGGTGGAAGCCTTAGAGAAATAACACCCAGACAGTGAAACCAAGCGTGAATCCGAGCCAAAAGTGTAATAACACCATTTGTAAGAGGAATGCTAAAAATTCCAGCCAGTATTTATGAAACCCTTTATTTATATTTCACTAGAAAAGAAAAAAAACGAATGTAGGGATTTGTTGAACTGTTAAACATGAGATCCAGCCAGAGCTTTGAAACTCTGAACAGCTTGAAAGTCAGCAGCTAGTTGCACATTTATTCTTAACACCTTAAAACACTGTTTAAAACTCCACCATTTTTATGTTTAAATAATTTCTATAAATAACTTCTATGCTATAAAACAAGAATAAGATATAGATTGTCAATAGAAAAGGATAGAAAACCTCTTTATTGTCCCACAATGGGGAAAATGTGGTGTTACAGCAACAAAAGATTACAGCAAAAGTGGTCACACCTTAAAAAGGGTATAAAAATGACAGAATATGTGACAGTAAAAAAACATATAAAAACAGTAAACAAATAAAATACTGGAATGTACAGTATTTTTACAAATATAAATACTGTGCATCTTAAGAATATTACTCAATCAGCAAAGGACATTTTTACAGTAATCAAATGTGAAAATAGCAGAAACACCAGAGATGTGCAAAATGACAGAACAAGGTTATTTAAGTGACGTAAACAGTAACTGTGCAAAAATCAGCATGAATGTAACAACTTATTGAGGTTTTTGGGAACAGTGATGGTTATAAAGTATTAAAGCTGCTTGGAGGAAGGATCTGTGATAACGCTCCCTGTTGCATTTAGGGTGCAGCAGTCTGTCACTAAAGGAGCTCTCCATTTCAGCAACAATACCATCCATCCATCCATCCATCCATCCATCCATCCATCCATCCATCCATCCATCCATCCATCCATCCATCTTCTGTCATGCATATCCCAAGCAGGGTCGCGAGGGTTGCTGGACAGGACACCACGGTGCAGCAATACTACTTAAATAAAAATAAATGAATGAGGAAAAACAAATGTACCTGTAGAGCCAGGGCAATCATCATCAGTGCAGAGGAACCTCGCCCCCTGGGTGTATTTTGTGACCCTTGTTAAGGCAATGACTGCCCCCTCCATGGAGACCGGCCTCAGAGGACCATACACTTGGTGAAAACTGCTGAGGTCCAAAGTGTACTCGGGGAATGGAGGGAGATGAGTAAAATTCAGGGAAATATTCACCTCCAAATAGAAAACACATGGCAAAATAAAATTCACAATCAAGCACCTGTACTTTTTCTTTTATTATCTAGTTCAAATTATGGGGCTTTATCGTATCCTGTATTAACCTTGTTTATTTTTTGTATTATCTTTAGCAGACTCTAGTGAAAATTTTGCTTTGCAGGTGCCAGGAACTGAATGTTCCTTATGTGTATAACTCAAGGTCGCATGAACAAATGTAAGTGTATCACTGTATCACGCTGCAACCTACTCCCCATAAATTCCATTAAAGTTACAGCGTGACCTATTGTAACTAGGGACTCCCTTTTTCTAATAAAGAGTGAGGAAGACAGCAGAGAGGGCTTCAGAGTAGAGGGAAATTGTAAGTGATGTAATCTCTGATGCTCTCCTCATGAGTAAAAATAATCTAACGTCTGTTGTCCTCCTTCCTCAGGTTATTGATAAGCGTTTGGGTGTTTAAACCTGACATTTTGGCCAGAGCCTGGTTAAATTGCTAATTTCTGCAGAGTAATGGATTAATTCCTAGGACCAATTTAATGATTCACCTTTATAATTTACCTCAACGTTTATTTTAAAAGGACAGTCACCTTATTAAGATACAATCACTGTGCATAGGAATATTGTAGGAATCTTCAGAAATCATCTACCATTAGCAGCATATTGTACAAAAACACATCAAGGTTTGTAGGTTTTAACATAACCTAACAAAATGTGAAAAAGTCTAAATGGTTAAAGAAACAAAAAACACATAATCCTCCTACCTGACTCGCTGTGTGTATTTTGTCAGTAAGCGAAAGTGTCTTTATAGCCAAGAAACACACCTGAATGGAAAAATGAGGACATAAAATCAGCCTCATTCTACCCATTTTATTTTATCTATTAGTGGTCATTTAAAGTTTTTTACTTACTGATTGAAACAGAGCAGCTGCTCTGAGAGGGTCATGCAGAATATAATCCCCCAGCTCAGGATCTACCTCTATCAGGTCTGAAGGATTCACCACAACCCTGAACCTGTAGACAGCCTCTGTCTGCTGGGGGTCTGGTTACAGGGAGATTAGATCATGAGACTTGATCCGTTTATGTTAAATAAAAATTCAACTGGAAAAGCCCAATTTCCAGAGTTTATTCTCGACAATTAATATCTACACAATCAAGTAGGACCGCCAAAGCCACACTTTGTTTTTAACGTTGTTTATTCTTTTAGTGTCATAAATAATGAATGTCTTTATTACTTATTTTTTTGTGTTATGTTCTCTTTTTTATATGTTTCTGCGGTTAAAAAAAAAAAGTAAAGCAAAACATTAAATGATTAGCTAATGTAGCTAGCTTATCATTAAATGTAGCTAATTAGCATAATTGGCTACATTTACTGATTAGCTGATGTAGCTAGCTAATCGTTAAATGTAGCTAATTAGCATAATTAGCATTCAGGTGCGCTACAGTAAAACTACCGTTTAGAGGTTTGCAGTCATCTGCTAGTTTCTGAAGGCCTCCACTTCGGTCCAAATAAATCAGAACCGATTCTTTTAAGGATAAAATGCCAGCCATTTGTTTTAAATTTGGAAAAGAAAATTAGTTTTCGTTCAACAAAGCGATGCTGCTACTTTCTGTCCGTTAGTGCCTATATATATATATATATACAGTTCAATCATTTAAAGGAACATTCCTCTTAATAAAGAGTTTAAAATTAATTTATAACTCTGCTCTTTCTTAAATCTGAAAACATTATTTTATTTATAATAAAACTAGTTTTATGAGTTTTTCAACTTCATTTGTATTTTAAGTTTTAATTTAAAATGAAACAAATTCAAATGGGTTTTATTTCTAACAGTAAACACAAACAGGGAATCACAGATTAAAGTTTTCTAAAGTGAAAGCTACACCTTTTTAAACCAGTTTTAAAATATCTTTAAAGTCTTCCAACTTTTGGTTCTCAGCTGTCTGGTCCTCTCCGCTTTGAAATCTGCCAATTTGAAATTTTTACAAATTAGATAAAAGTCTCCAAAATGCCAAACTTTCTTTTTAATTGAGTCTTGCATTGTCTTAGAATTATAAGGTCCATGTTTGGACTGTTTTGTGAGCGTTTTAAATATTTAAGAGGGCTTTAAAATTTTTTAAAGCTGGACCTTTCTAAGGTTCTCATGCTAAAAAAAAAAAAAAAAAAACACTTTGACCTGCAGCAAGGGGATATTTTTTGACTCCCATCCTTGGGTTTGCAGGTTCTCCCTGGGTACTCCAGCTTCCTCCCACAGTCTAAACTAGGGCTGCAACTAGTGATTATTTTGTAAATCGATTAAGCTGTCAATTCTTTTCATTATAATTGGAGTTCTGGATAAAGAATATTGACAAATTAAGTATTTTTTAAATCTTAAATGCAAAATATTTATATATTTTTTTTAAATCTTGGTATAATTACTGCACTAAGTGGGTTACTCTGTCAGTTAAAGGCATATTTTACAGTCTCTATACTCTAGTTAATCAATTAATTGACGATTATTTCAATAATCGATTAATCATGGTTTCAGCCATAGTCTAAATAGAACTGTAAGGTTGATCTGCAACTCTTAATTGCCTTTTGGTGTGTGTGTGCATAGCTGTGTCTCTGTTGCCCTGAGTTAAATGGCGACCTGTCCAGGCTGTACACAGCTTTTCGCACATAGGCACAAGACCCCGACAGACAAAAGGCAGACATAAATCTCAGCTCAGTTTTGACTGCATTACATAATTGTAATTTGGTGGCTTATATATTTTTCTTCTAAATATCAACCCTTCTACTTTGAAAATGACCCTCTAAATCAAGCACTGAACCAAAACTTTACACTTTATACGTGTAATTTAGATGCAAATCAGATATAGGTGCTGAACCTTGTTGCTGTTTTTGAACGGTATATGACTAAAAATAATTACCTTTGGATGGCATGCTCTTTTGACTAAGCTGTACTGATACACTCTTAAAAAAGCTGTTAATTTGAGAAAAGGCTGTCTTTTTAATCACCTTATTCTGAGAGTTGTTACAGAATCAGCGTTTTGTTTCACTTTCACAAATTTTTTGAATGATAAAGTTTGTATTCAATTCAAAACAGAGATGACTGACAGGCACTTATACAATAGACATAACAAATCAATAAAAATACCAACAATACACACCGAGTCTGGACTTTGTGCCTTTGGTTTTTAATCATTACAGTAGAAGTACAGGCCAGTTGAAGACAAGCATTACGAATATTTAATGTGAACAGATGTGTTAAAGCATGTATCAAAATATTCCAGCATAAAAGAAACAAAAGGCACCTCAACTAGTATGATTCAAATGCTTTTTAGTTTTAATAAGAACATGGGCATGGACCATTGGATCTGCCTGTTAAAATGCTTCCTTTTTTTTTAAGTACAATGAACATTTCAAGTTTTCAAACACCTGCTTCTTGATTTTATTTCAGGTATCGTTTTAAGGCTCATTTTTAGAAAAGACCTGAAATCACAATACCAGCGAGCACATTAGCTTAATTCTAAAATATAGCATCTGTTATATATATTTTTATATAAATACAAAAAAGGTAAAATAGACTTTCTTCCAATCAATATCAGTTTTAAGTGCAGGTTATTCTCTGTTGCTAGCTTTGGCTTCACAGAACAAGTAAACCTCTTTGTTCTAACTTTTTTTTCCCTTTAGTCAATGTTTTTACAATGGTTAAGGCAAATGAGGACCCCCTTAGTGGGGTTGATTCACTGGAATGAGTCATCAGAAGGTGGGGCATATGAGAAGCCCAGAAAGGCATCGTCGGCCTCCATTACACTGGCGTTGACAATGGAATGTTCTTGAGTCCAGCAAATCGAGTTGGGAACCATCTCCTCTGTGAACTCGGGGTCAAAGTTTGTAATATCGCAGGGAGAGCTCTGTCAAAACATTAAACGACACTTGGCTCAGAACGACACTCATGAAATACACTCAGTAAAGTTAGCAGAAAGGAGCATCTTAAAAATCGTTCAAAAGCCATTGATTTCCTTAGCTTACATAATGTAAAATTGAACTAATAAGTTCATGTGTAAAATTATTTTTTAAAAGAAATTAGGTAAAGAGGTGTTAAGATTCAGGATAAGATGCATTATGAAATATAATGAGCAGCATAGGATTCCAAACAATATTCTGTTCCCAAACAATATAACAGAAAAAAATGAACCAGTAAAGACAAATGTAAAAACGCTTCAAATACTGGATGAAACAAAATATTTACCACATTAGGTTTAAATGGGACAGGGATCTTCTTCTGTTCAAGATCATTCCAGTTGATCGATGAGAAGAAGCTGTGTGTTTTGATCTCATTCTGAAAAACAAAACATAAAAAAACAAAACGCATCAACCCGATTCTGATTTTCTTTCCAGACCTCTCTGTCCCATGATTTTATTTTATACGAGTATAACATTTCATAAGGAAGCGAGAATGGCAGGAAGGATGAGAGGGTTGAAAGAACAGAGGAAATGAAGAACAGACAGAGGGAAATAATAAAGTACTGCACAAAAAAAGGAATGGAGGATTGGAAAAAACCAAAGGAACAATTAAGGAAGTTGGATGAATAATTGACAGATAGATGGGAAGATAGGCAGATGGAAAGTAAATCTAAAAGATACTACTATACTGTATTTTTTTATTTCCATTCTTAACCATGCTTGTCTAAAAAAAGCAGAATCAACAATTCTTTACTCTCTAATTATTTCAAACTATGTAGGGATGCTGTTCAATGATCTACCAGCAGAGGGAGCTAAAAACTAAAACAAAAGGTCTAATTGTAGCAACAAACATAATTCCTGAGTTGTTTGCTATACAGGTGAATTTCTAAAGGAATGGGTTTACCTGGATTTCACAATTTGCATTCTGTCTAAACTGCTAATATTGTTATCAAACAACAAAGGGCATGAGGGATGATGTGGATGTGAAAGTAAATTATTTTTAGCGTTTATTAAATTTACTTTAATTTATTAATTTTATTATTTAATTTTTTTGGCTGAAAAATCAGTTTCACAAAAAAAAAAAAAAAAAAAAAAAAAAAAAAAAAAAAAAAAGCAGATGTTCACATACTATTAGGTTATAAAAATAAAAGTTTTCCTCCAAAGAATAAGTTTTGTTTTTTAACACTCTTTATGTACACACACTAATCACACAATATACATAAAAAGCTAAGGTGAAAAAAATTGGACCTGCAGGCATATCTAAATAAGCTTTTATCCAATCAGGGAGCTTCATACTAGTTCGGAAAGGTCACATTCTACAGAATCTAGTGATATGCACCAATTTGAGCTGCACAGAAGCCCCAGCAAATCACAAACGAGAGTAGGAGAGGTCGTACTGATTTACACACAGATACAGTTTCCAAATATAGGCATGTCATATTACCGTAATACAGAGAGAACAATAAGCTTTTAGCTAAATAATAGGCTATCAGTTGGATATATTCCAGAAACTGACTTTAATTGGTATGAAAATATCTTTTGATGAAAAAAAAAAAAACAGCAAAGTTATGACAGATTGTATTTGCGTTGCTTGGTTTTGCTGACGTTTTCCCGAGGACGTTTTTGAGTGGTCGGCTGCGAATCAGAGATTTGCATATGATTCTGGCTTACATTAGAAATGCATAATTCGGCACAGCTAGTTGTGTTGTCAAAAACAAGCCCACTGAAAAATAAACTTGGTCATAAAATGCATTTTGGCTATCTGAGTGTTTTTTACCACTGTGTTTAAACTGTGGTCAGTGGATATTAGAATGCAGTAGATGAAGACCTGGACATATGATAAGTGTGTGTCAGGGTCAGAGTTAGTGAGCTCCAAGCTTATTGTTGGAAAATAGCTCCTGCCCCCTTGAAAGGGGGCGCTCAAGCTTAAGTGAGCTTCATGCAACTGCATGGCACATTGTTCTGATTTTTTAAATACAAAAAGGCAAAAGTAAAGACCAAATACACCTTTTTCCTAAATGAAATACCACTTGTGGGTTGATCCATCATATGAAATGCCAGATAAAATTCATTGTCTTTTATGGCTGTAGTAAGATAAACAAACATTCAACTCACAAAGTCATCTCTGGATCCCAGTCTGTGTGTGCGATCTTTCTCCAGGAGACCCTGAAGAAGAGACCATGCTATGCTGGACGCCCCAGGACGCATTGCTAAGGGTTTGTGCAGGATGTTGTCATACATCTCGTGTGTATCCCTGCTGTAAAATGGGGGCTAGAATGTAAAGAATAGACAGCTTTAGTACGTCTGTGAATCAGTGGGATGACTCAACAACTTGTGAAGATTGGGAACAGATTTAAAAACAGCTGAAGTGAAACTCACTAAACCAAAGAGCATTTCATACAGCACAGATCCCAGACACCACCAGTCCACAGTGTTGTCATATGGGTGCTTCCTCAGGACTTCTGGAGCCAAATACTGAGAAATAAAAAAAATGTTTGGGTCAATGGAATAATTTTTCCCTGTAAAAAAAAAAAAGACACTAATACAAATCTTTTTGGTAAATTTCACAGCAGCAAACAACAGACAAGTTACCTCAGGAGTTCCACAAAACGTAGAGGTGGTATCCGTCTGGGAAATGCCCTCCTTGCACAATCCAAAGTCCGTCAGCACGATATGCCCCTTCAAGAGACAAGACGTGGACATTTTTAGATAACGTGCCACACAAGCACCTCATTATCCCCGCACACTGAGGCCTCTATTGTTGCCAGGAAAGCTGGCATCAACGATGCTCGGTCAGTCCCATTCACCGGTCCCTCACAGGACAAGCAGGACACAGTCAGACCTAATCCAATCACATGCTTCACATCAAACTGAAACAGGAAATTACAATGTCGGGTAAAATTGTTCCTAGAAAACTGGGATGCAAACTCGGTGCATGCTGAACAAACCGTCCATTAGGGCACAGAATGAAGCATCATTCCAGTGTGTATTTATGATTCAAATAAAAAGGACGAACACCTACCTCATGGTCAAGAAGGATATTCTCTGGCTTTAAGTCTCTGGAAGACAAAACATGAAAAATAAGAAACAATAAAACAGTCTTGTGCTAAAACCTTTTTCAAATTAGAATCTGTGATTGATGATAGTCAAAAGGTAGACATCAAACGTTAAGATCTGTCAGATTCTTGTTAGAATAATGGACTATTCTAACAAGGCTCCGATTTAAAACCATCCTATTGTAGCCCTTTCTGTATATTTAGGGTTGTTGTTCTGCTAGAAGGTGAACCTCACTACAATTCAGTTTTGCTTTCTTTACATGCAGGATTTATTTTACAGATGAACAAAAAGTAAAAATGGTTTTGGTTTAGAAAAAGTTAATTCATACAAAAACATTACACTCTTTTCTAAAATAAGTGCCCACATTATATTTATACCAGAGGTTATAAAAATGGGCAGAGCAGGCCAATCTGGAGACCTGCTAAGTGACTCGTATCAGAATCTAGGACCATAGGGGAGAATGGGAGTTTTTTTATGTTAGTTTTAGTGTCTTTGAAAAATGATCAGTCGCTATTTAAGTTTATCCTTTGACTCATTTAGCAGGGCTGTTTGTCTAAATGAGGGATGTTTGTTCACAGTTCATGCTATTTTTACATGTTTTATTGGCCCAAAACTTTTTTTTAAATATTGCATTGGCGTTAAATATAAAAAACATTGTGCCTGACTTTCCTTTACCGCTTTCAACACCAGTCTTAAGTTGTTTTTAAGCACCCTCTCTATTATCATCATCATCTCCTCTCCTGCCCCATCTGTTAAAATAGATGGAAATGTTTTGGAAATTTTGCAGAGGGCCATAATACCTTAAGGTAGTGATTTGTAAGCTAACCCAGCTTAAAGTATCTCCAGAACTTTAATCTCTGAGCCGTCTTTCTTATTCTTCATGATGCTATTTGCTCAGTACTTTACTCAAACTTCAAAGACCTTGACAGAACAGCTAGATTTACCTAGAGACTCAATTTTATTTAGATGTATCCCAGTAAGGGAGGCTAAATGCTACTGTAAGCTAGCGTTGAAGTATTTTTTTATAAGTAAAAATATTTGAAAACCTAATTTCAACCTGTAATCCATACCTGTAAACAATATCTAGAGAATGCAGATATCCAAGCGCACTCGCCATTTCTGCAATGTAAAACTTTGCTCTGGTTTCTGAAAATGTCCTTTCTCTTTGAAGATGAAAGAAAAGCTGGAATGAGAACATTCTGGTTAATTTTTTTTAAAAGACACAGCAGCATTCATTTAATCTAAGAGTCAAAACACTGTGATTTGATACTGTATTTATAGAGACCGTGTAACAGTAGGCAAGAGGCGGATTTACAGAGGCAGACTGATGTTAGTCATTCCCACAAACAGCAGCTTAAAAAAGACTGAGAATCACACTCTACAGAGATCTCCAGAGGAAGTCACACTCAAAAGTCACTCTGGTCGGAGTAAAGCTGTAATTTCTAAGAGGCATTTCACACACGCAGATGCTGGAACCAACCTAAGCATAGCTCCAAACAACCCAGTATTTCAATCCTGTATTACTTCATTCCACAGCTGAATCATGTGAGTCAGTGCGAGCATCTTATTCCCCCCCAACCAAACTGAAAGAACTCACTTCTCCTCCATTGACGAAATCCAAGACGAAGTACAACTTGTCTGTGGTCTGAAAGGAATAGTGAAGTCCGACCAGAAATGGGTGTTTCACATTTTTCAGCAGTACGTTGCGCTCGGCCATAATGTGTTTTTGCTGATTGGAGGGATAATTCAGAGGGAGGGTTACAACACAGAGCAGCATGACCAACACACTCAAATGATCCAAGACATCACTGATTGGTGAATGTACCTCTTTTCTGTTGAGAATCACTTTTTTCTGTAAGACTTTCACCGCATAACACTTTCCGTCATGTTTTCGTTTTGCAAGGAAAACCTGTGTGGGCGTAAAACGAAGCGTGTTAGATAGAGAGGTAACCATAGTAATTCCCAAAGAGATTCTCAGTTCCTAAATGGAAAGGCCAGCATATGGAGAACTAAAACTTCTTGTTCCTCCAGAGCAAAACACAGGCAGTATTCATGACAATAAAATAAAAAACATGACAAAACATTTTTATAATTTGGTCTTTATGCAATAAAACCACAGGGAAGGTCATATCTAACTTAATCACAGATTGCAGGATAATTCCACAAACCCTATGTCTTTAGATTTAAGGAAACTGGTTGAACTTTAGAGGTGTATAAATAATGGGGGTTAAAAATATACAGTGGGGCAAAAAAGTAATTAGTCTGCCATCGTTTGATCAAGTTCTCCTACTTAAAAAGAAAAGTTTTGTAATTTTTATCCATGGTACACTTACTATCAGAGACAATATTTGATATTTACATACACAAACTGACTACATACAAACACATACACATATATATTTATTTTAGGGGTAGAACGGTTCACAAAATCCACGGTTCGGTTCACGATTTCGTGGTTACGGTTTTCGGTTCGGTATATGTTTATTATTACACCAAAAAATAAAAAAATTAATGAAAAAATAAAAATGAATGAAATTAATGAAAAAAAAAATTAATGAATTGTAATTAAATTTTAATGATCCACGGAAACCATGGTTCATTTCCACATGTTTTGCTGCTTTGAATTTAATCATCTTGCGCATGCCCTCAACCATCTCCAAGGAACTCAGAGCGGAGCGGATGGGAGCCACAGTGCAGGCTGTAGGCTTTTCTTTGTGCAGGAGGTCTGGAGCGCAGCGGAGCGCTGACGGAGTATGTGGGATTTTCGGGGTTAGCATGACATGTTGGTCATGTTGCTGTTAGCATAAACAAAACGTGTTGCACAATGCTTGCACACTGTTGTACTTTTATCCACAACTTTCTTTCTGCCGTCATCGTAGGTCACTCAAAATGCAAAGTGGTCCCATACAGCAAACCTATAAAGTGCTGCTGGCGCGTCTTCCAACTACTGTTCTTTTCCACTCGCCATAGCTCCACAATTCTCCACAACAACTGATTTTTTTCTGCTACACCCGGCTACGCGGCTTTGCTTCTTCTTGTTTACTACTGGTGGTTGGCTTTTGTCGCGGTACCGCCACCTTCTGCTCTGGAGTGTACACGCTTCACCTATGAGAAAAAGGAGCAGCGCATGAACTGAACGCAACACACCCGAACCGAAACAGTCGAAACCGAACGGTTCGGACGGTTTATGAAAACCGTCCGAACCGAAATGTGGTGTGAATATTTGTGCCCCTGTTGTTGTAGGGGTCCCATACCTTTCCAAAACTCCCCTTTCCAATAACTTTTAAAAAGTCAAAGTCTGTAGGCTTTGCTCTGAAAGAGAAAGGAAAATTTCCATCACTACTTTATGAAGAATTTTTATGTTTCATTTAAAACAAAAGAGACATTAAAGCCATACACAAGAATTAAACCAAGCAGGAAACATACTGTGGATTTCCAGAGGGTCCCAGGTTAATGTTTCTGGAGGTAGAGCCATTCTGTTAAACACCAGATGAACATTAAATTAACTACCAGCTTACCAAGTTTACATGCTGAATTAAGCAATGCAATGAACTATTGAAGCATGAGATCAATTTTCATCCAAGAGGATGATACTCACTTTGTCATCTTCATCCTCAGAGGCATCTGAAAGTTGATGCATTTTGTCCATTAGAAGAAAGCTCCGCACATCTGGGCTTTAACGAGTCATTTGGAACAAAAAACATATGAAAAAATATTTGTAAGAACCTCTAGAATTTTTTTTTACTGAATATTTATACAGTACATGTTAAATGAATCAATACTTTATGAAAAGATTTCCGTAAAAAATTCCAAGGGAAAAAAAGTTATACAACACATCCAATCAAACCAATATGCAGGGCATTTGAGCCACAAATATCTAACAGAAATTTAAGTATTTAAAGGGGTAACCTTTGGTTGCAGTACAAACAATCAAAATCATGTTTATGTATTTTTTTTGTTGACCTTTGGTAACCATAAAAAAATATCAAAAGGAAAAACTAAATGATCTATAAAATATATGAAAAAAGAAAGAAGCACTGGGGGTGGATGGGCTGATCCACCACCTTCTCCAATTCATTCTTTTTTTTTTTCTCCCCTCTCTAAATAAAGGGTGAAAAAAGTTCCTGTTATTGACAGTCTTTTAGTAATGCTTTCATAGAAGAGCGATATTTTTTACTTATCTTTAGAAGATACATTACATCAATTTGCTCCATTTACACTACAAATAAAGGTAAAAAGAATCTGTCATTGATTAACCACTTTGGATAGTGAAGCATAACCAATCCGTGGGAACCGGAATGTCCCTCAGTGATATGCATATCCATTTACAATGGGATTATACTGACAGTGGATGGACTGCGGTGCAGCCTCGCCACAGAAAGCCACATACTGAACACCTTAGCCAGCCCAGCCCATCTACTGCATCGACTGCAAAAGTGCAGAGATTCCCATGGGTTGGAACTTTTTCCAGGAGAAAAACTCCATTTATCCATGCACATACTGTAAATGATCCTTCTCCATCCTTCAATAGCCCCTCTGTACCCTCATGTTTCTGTTTTCCCATTTTGTTTACAGTAGTCAAGTTAACGTTGGTGGGTTGATCTTATTCTGAAATTCATCAGGACTTTTTCCTGTTTGGTTTGCGTATCTCTACTGCTGAAAATCGTTCTTTGAGCGCGCAACCTCATAACCGCACCCACATTGCACCTTGGCTGATGTGGGTGTACACAGAGTTGTTTTTTTTATTATTTGGGTTCCTTGCACTGACCTGCAAATCAGCTGCACCTATTCAGACAGCATTAAAGGTTTCACCATTTTTTTCTTTCCACTTACCATCAAGAAATCCAACATAAACTAAGTACTTGTCATCTAATCGTAATTTCCTTTGCTGTATTTGCAGCACACACTTACTGGCTGGAAAGCTGAGGATTAGAGACGATCCGCTTGATGAACTCATGAAGCCCTGCTCTTCGTTGCTTGATGAATTCTGTGGTTTAGAGGCAGATTTCAATAGAGCACAACAATAATATACACACAACATACAGTGGGTAAGGAAAATGTTCGGAGCCCTTTAAATTTTTCACTCTTGGTTTCATTGCAGCCATTTCCTAAAATCAAAAAAGTTAATTTTATTTCTCAGCATCCCATCTTGACAGAAAAAAAAAACAGAAATGTAGAAAGTGTTACAAATTTAATAAAAAAGAAAAACTGAAATATCAGTCTTTGCTGTGACACTCATATTTAACTCACATGCTGTCCATTTCTTCTGAGTCTGCTCCTTCATTGGAGTCCAGCTGTGTTTAATTAAACTGATTGGACTTGATTAGGAAAGGCACACACCTGTCTACATAAGACCTTCCAGCTCACAGTGGATATCAGAGCAAACGAGATTCATGAGGTCGAAGGAACTGCCCAATGAGTTTAGAGACAGAATTGTGGCAAGGCAAAAATCTGTCAAGAAGGTGTGCTGAGTGTACATTAATGAGAAATAAAATAAATTTATTGATATTAGAAAATGGCTGCAATGAAACAAAGAGTTAAAAAATTAAAAGGGGTCTGAATCTTACTGAATGAGATTTTTATCTGAGCTTTCAATTTAGCAGGCGGACCAGAAACCACTTACCTGGGTCAAAATTGTCCCCAAATATCCTTTTAGCCGGAATTTTCAAGTTCATAGATGGGAACTGTTTTTTTAACTGAGTCGGAAGAAAAACAAAAGACGTTAAAGGAAGTTTATTATAAAAAGGCTTTGCTCAGTATCTCCCCCTACGGAAGAGGATTAGGGCCATTTAAAAAAAAAAGACAAAAAAAATCAACTCAATAAAACAAAATGGCTGTTGAGGATTACTTTATTCTCAGAATCTCCCCCGGTTATGACTACATGTAATATTCCTACTTTATCAAAGTGATAACCCTGGGTTTTGGTGAGAGAGTCTTAAATAATTTGACTTCTAAATCTAAAAATAAAGTCAGAATTCTAAGATTAAAGTCAAAATTCTTTGAATTAAGTCAGAATTTAAAAGCATTTTTTATGGCCCTAATCCTCTTCTGTAGTGTTCAATTTTCCCATACACCTACTTTACAAATAATTTCGATTAAGTTTACCAAATAGAGTGATAGATGAAGACTTTAGTTTAGGTATATATTTCCAATGTAAATTAAATGATCAGAAGTAAATAAGCTCTGATTAATGTGGAAGATCCACGAAATATAACATAGTATAACACAAATATAACACAACATATATATATAACATATGACACAGGTCAGGGATCTGCTCGGGTGGTCAGATCTGCTCGGGCCCACCGCATGCCAGTGACGTTACGCTATATATGATTGGCTGAATGTTGCCACATGATGTAAAACATTGTGGTTGCCCAGAAAACAATAATAACAATGCAGCGTCCGTGTGCCGAGTCGGGAGCATCTGTAGTGTTAGCGTGTCTATTGACTGATCAAGTTTTACCAGATTGATAACAAAGCTGAAAAAATCTGTTTATAGTGAACAAAGTAACTGCAAAACCATTAGTTACTTTGGTTACTCGTGGTTTTGCATGAGTAACCAGTGAGAGAGCTGGGTAGCGCTGTGGGTAGCTGTGCTCAGTAGCTAACGGATTAGCCTCTTTTAGCTTGGTCAATTAGCCATATTAAGGGCGGATTATACTTCTGCAACCGCACACATCAAATGTCGCTTGCGTCTGGTCGCAAACAAGTTTTGCTGGTATGCTTCTGTGCCGTCGGTCTATATTTTCTAGAGACGCACAGCAGTTTCCTGCCAAAGCACTAGGGGAAGCATATTCGGGAACTTGCAAGAACTTCAGCGGATGGTCACGAGAACTTCTTCAGCGGCGCCGGCAGGAGTGTTTATTTTCCAAAACATGTCTTTGGCATCGTACAAGTGGTTGTACTCACGAACGTCCTCGATCAACCTTTAGTCGTGGTTATCCATTGTTGTTTACTCCTCGGCTTTTAAAAATGGCGCGCCCCAGCACCGAATCGAGTAGGTTGAAGCTGATTTTTGTCTGCCTACTTCCGCTTGAGGTCTGCGCGGGTTCGCGACCTTCCGACATGAAGTCAGGATTTTTTGAGGTGCACGACGACGGTTGCCGACGTCTGCCAATGAAACGAAAAATAATAGCAAAAATGGATAATAATATATTGAGACACCATCTAATTCTTAACCCTTTTTAAGGCAAGTTACCGTTTTTGATCACCTGCATACCCCTTACAAATGGAGCCTCTCCTGTCCCTCAGTGAGGTCTATAGGTTATTTTGCCATTTGATCAATTAGATGAGGCATTGAATGATATATTACCAACTGTAAATTAAGTTGAAAAAAAAAAGATAACAAGTCAAGAAAAAAAATAAAAAATCTAATTGAAAAGTTAAAAAGTCAAGTTGGAAGGTTATTAAGCCTAGTAAATAATTATGTTTAGGTTTATAAACAAAAAAATGTAAGTGCCAGTATCAGCATTAATGCCTCTAAGTACCAAAAAAGATTTTTTTCATTCACTCTCAGATTGTTTTTCATTAATTTCTTATAGAAGCACTTTTGTTAATTTTCTAAATATATTTGGGCAAGTTGGCGTTTCTTGTTATTACATTGACATCTTGTTATTACTTTCATTTTTGCCATCAAAATATCTACATTTTTTGAATTTCACAAAGGTAATAAAGTCTTGTTCTGGATTCCAATAACACTATCGGCTTAAAATTTAGATTTTCAAAGTATTTCACTGAATGCCCTATAAAGGGTTAAGAAATAGGTGCAATATAGTTTGTCTGAGTGGAGTTGCCATATGATGATGTCATAAGAAGGGGCAAGGCCCAGAGAAGACCAGCCGAGCAGATCTGGTACCTAAACTGGCCTGCCCACCAAATTTTTTTTGTTTGATTTGTTGATAAATGTTTGTTTTTGTTTTAACTGAGACTGGTGTAACATTCATTATCATTGACATCTTTATCATGTAAGTGGAGGAAGAGAAAGTAATATCGCTTCCACACACAAAAACTAAAAATAAGACAATATATTGGGGATCGGGTAGACTGATGGTAAAATAATCGGTATCAGCAGTCGATTTCTGTTCTCAACCAATGGAACCACTGCTGTTGTTACCATTTCATTCACATAATTCAAATAATAGTTAAATTTACTAAGTTGCACACTTATTTTTGAAGGAAAACAAGACTTACTGTGTTATAGAGTTTATCAAACTCCGCATATCGCCTGAAAACAAACCACTCCTGTCGTCCAACAGACACCATCACTTTGTAAACCTGAAAAAGGTTCACACATGAGAAAATGCGGAGCGTCTCATTAAATGTTGAACATGTACTTGTTTCAAAATGTAACACCCTAAAACTCGATGACACCTGCTAACATTTCCAAAGTGAAAACATATATTTCTGAATGGAGGCAACGCACTGTGTAACGCTTCTTCTTGTCTCTCTGTTCATTGTGGCAGGGTATGCTGACATTAGGGAAACTGGACTGCTCCTCCATCTTGGGGTCTGTCAGCATTCAGAGTCGTAGAGTAATGAGCTCTCCTGGGTAAGGCTTCAAGTGTACAAGTGGCCAATCCCCATGCTGGGACTCTGCTGCACAGAAGAAAAAGAGAATAGAACACTATGAAATTCAGGAACTGAAAGTGGCGTACATCTACATGTTGGTGTCTGTTGAGTCCGACATGTATCACTCTGTCAAGGATGAGGTTTAAATTTAGTATGCCCTGTCCTTTGTCACACATACACGTATAAGATCTAAATACATATCAAAGTCTTCTTAACAAAAGTGAAATACATTCAGTCATAGTTTGTTGTTGCAGTAATCAAGGTCTCTTGTGCGTGTAACTGTCAGCTTTGGGTTTTTTTGTTTTGTTTTGTCTTCTAACAGTGGGGATCCTCTGTATACATTCAACATTTTGTTGAACCACAGACCCAAATGTCTTTGGTTAGTTTCGGAGGCAGATTTCTCAGAAACTGAGATTCCCCCCATTTCCCCCCCCCTTATTTAAGATCTGTTGACATCAGTTTACAAACCCGGTCACACATTCTCAACTGGATTTAGGTCTGGGCTTTAACTAGGCCGTTCTGACATATAGACTTTCTGGTGCAGCTCCAGTTGCATGTTTAGCTTATCATGCAGGAAATGTTGGCAACATCTCTGCCTTTACAGCTGCTGCCAACATGTGTCACAGTAGGGAATCGTGTATTTAACCAACTAGAGCACTTTCCTTGGCCAAATTTGCTTGGCTGCCTATAGTTCTTTTGAGCAAACTACAAAAGGGGACATTTTATTATTTTTGTTCAATAAAGGATTATTTTTCTATGCTTTCACTTCACTGTTTAAAGCTCTCTCTGGTAAATTTTAATTGTAAAGTTGTCTTTATATTTGTAGATCATAGAGTAAACATAGCTTTTACAAATATTTAAAGGTAAGGATATTATTTTTTTAAATCGAACCCTTCTCCAATACACTGTTGGTTTTCGTGGAGCCGTTAGTTTACTCATTTTTTGAAACCAAATTCTGAACCCTTCATACAAGCGCTGTATTTATGCTCATAAATTACATACAGAGGAAATCCACTTCTTGATTAAGTGATATATTTAAAAAAAACTGGTAGCATTAGACTTTATTTTTGGGGCATCAATGCAACGTTGTCTGTGGTGGTGTGGTTACAGAAGAATACGCCACTTCTCAGATTTCTATTTCTAAAATTTACAATTATGCTCTTTTTTTTTTTTTTTAATCAACCTCTCTTTAAAATATTCATGATGTTGCTGAGGTTTTGCCTGTTTAAACCACAAAGAGAGCGTATCAATGTTGACTCTAGTTCCAATTAGGAACGACACCGCTAAATAAGACTCAAAAAACTAAAATATTGAGTCAAAAAACATTTTTACCTATTTAACCTCAGACAGCCATTATATTAGAAGGAAAAGAAATGCTCCTTGCAGTATTTAAAATGATAATTTCTGAAAACAGATTTGTTTTCTATATGCAGCTACTAGGAACTAAGTTCTCTGTTTTTTTCAAGGAAGAACAACATGGAGCCGTTTTAAAGTAGACAAATATTTAACTCACTCCTTCCTTGGTAAATGGCTATAATCTCCCACTAATGTGTTATAGTCCATCTTTTTTTTCCTTTTTTGCATTTTGCTGAGAGGTTAGAGTCCATTTCTGAAACCTTCCTCTGCATTCATTCACCTGCTTAGCCATCAATCGCCCTTCTGTCACACGCAGAGCCAGAGACGTTCGTGTTACTGAGAGGTTAAACATAAACACACAGCTCCTTGCTAATATATGCATGCTTCTTAACCTTTTTAAAATATTGTTACACACACCTCACTTTAATATGAAAGCCCGTAATAAAACCATTTGCAACCACTCTGAGTTCAGTAGACACCTATTTATTAAGCAAAGACTGGAGTCCAACTGTGTGTCAGTCAATCAGATGCTTGGTTTCATTAGAGGAAACTTTTTGACCAATTTGTAAGATTTGATCACATTGACTTTGTAAAGTGCTTGAAGATGACATGAAGTAAATAGGGGGCTATATATAGATAGATAAACGCAAATGGAATTGAGGTCGGGATATTACCAGTATGCATGATTTTGCTCCATATATCAAAACACCATTAGAGATATGCAACATAGCTGGTCAGCAATTATAAAATGGGCTAAAGTGCTTGAAATCAATAACATTTAACCTTTATTGTGAAGCTTAAATAACTTTAAACATGCCAATAATAAAAATGGTAATAAAACAGATTTTTCCAACTCCTTACACAATGTTATATTTTAAAGACACATGTTAACTTAATGTACTTCTTCCATTAAAGTCTTCTATAGAATAATTTGGGCTGTAACTTTATTCAGTATTTATTTGATCACACTTGAAATCTGTTTGTATGATCCGTTCAGCAACAAAAATAGACGAACAAGCAGAAAGCTATAATGGACTCAGATGGGTCAAATTTTGTTTCACCATGTCTTGAGACAATCTCATAACACAAAGCTTATATTATTTTCGTTAAACATCTGAAAAACATCACAGAGCCGTTTACTTCATGAGAATGCGTTATATTGATGGATGAATTGCCTTTAAACAGATGTTATGATTCATCACTCAAATGTCCTTTCTTGCTTTGGTGGTGCAGTGGTTAGCACGCACGACCCATGTATGAATCCTTAGTCCTTGATGCGGGCGACCTGGGTTCGATTCCGACCTATAGTCCTCTCCCGCATGTCTCTCCCACTCTCTCATACCCCCTTTCCTGTCAGCCTAAAAACGTACCAGGGTATGGTACCATTGCAAAAAGATGAATCTCTTTTCTCCATATATTGCACTTTGCAAAATATTGGTTTGCTCTATGTTTGAGCCAGTCTATATTTTATGTTTTTCCAGCCATAGTTTATTAAAACTTCACCCTCCCCGCATGCTCGTTCGAAGTTCTGCCTGCTTGGGAGCGACATGACAACAGACTAGCACGACACTTTCATGAACGCTCATGTGAGGCACACCAAACAAAGCGCGTAAATTATTTTCTTTTTATTTCACCATTTTAACTCTCTCACTTTTTAATAGGTGGTATATTAAGTGAGATTTCTGTGTGGTATGAGATATTTATGATTATTAGGGATGGTTATTTTCGCCAAAGTCCTAAATCGATTTGATTTTGATTCATACAGTTCTAAATCGATTCATTTCGATTCGATCTGTCTTTACAATAATGAAAGTGGTTCAACTGTGTTTCAAAATACTCATGTCTTTTAATTTTTCCTGTAATATTAAACACAAAGTGCAAACTTGTAAATCAGACAATTTAAACTTGAGATGTGACCAAAACTGTCTCATAAGTGCAAACCTATTGGCTATATTTGCAGGTGTCGGGCTTGAAGTAAGCTTGAGTGCATATTTCCTGCTCAGTTGAATGTGAACGTCATGCACGTCACTATTAAACTAATCGATCTCATTCCCTAGACATCGATTTTGCAAAAATGTAAAGGAATCAATTAAAAATCTATTTTTTTTACCCAGCCCTAATGATTATCAGGCGTTTACATGCACCAGACACAAAATACAAGCTTTTTTTTTTAAACCTAAAAAACACAAGATTAAAATTGAAGAATTTTTAGCACCTGTCCTCACTTTGAAACATGGTGATGGCAGAGCCATGCTGTGGGGGTAAACAAGGGCAGGGAAACTGGACAGGGTTGATATCCAGCTGAAGATAGTTTTTTATCCCACCAACTGCTTTTAGGTGTGAAAAGAGCGTTCGGCACTTGGAGCTGATCATATTGTTATGAATATAACACAGACCCTAAAACAGACCAAAGAACCATACCCTGGTGCGGTTACCACTGGGAGACTCTGCATTGTTTATCTGTATGTGTATCAGACCCTAGTATAACAAAGGCAGGAAACAAGGATGTGGCATCAGTACGGCACATCTGACTGAAAGAAGACAACAAGAGAAAAAAGCAAGTCGCAAATCCGAACAGGAAAGAGTTTGAACATTTCTTGAGGAATAGAGGAGAGGTGTAGAAGCACAGCTACATTTGAGCACAAAAGTAATAACAGCCTTTATCTTTAATTCTGTTTTTTTTTTTTCTATCAACACAATATTGGAGCATTACTGCCCCTAGAACAATCCGTTGGAACAATATGAAGTACCGGTAGTTCATCCCGGTCTAGAGAGGGCAGCTAATAGCAAACTGCACCTAACGAAGGTGTGAAATTTACCATTACCTGGCCCAGATCAGCCATTTAAATGTGTCCTTCGAGGCTGCATAAAACTTGATGATGGCGGCAGGTTCATCTTTAAGGAGGACAATCATTAAGCCAATTATTCATACAGACATTAATTTATAATATTTATTTAGATAGGAGTTCAAAATTTATTTTTTAGAAAGAATATGAGACACCATCTTAAAAAAAAGTGAAAATAACCTAAAAGGAAGAGTTGCCATCAGAATCGACTCAGCCAGAGAAGACTTAGTCCATCCAAAACGTTCATGTTACTACCAGTGAGAAAGGAATATATTAAAATTAAAAGCTTATGCTGCGTCTAAACGGTATGAATAATTATGCACTATAGATCAATAAAAAATACACACACCAGAGGAGGATATCTGAATAGATTTGGAGGCGTACTGTAGATTTTTCAGCACTGCTCAATCCAACCCAATGTTAAACAGAGAAGCATATCCTGGGAGTTATACAATGTCTGCCTTACAACAAAGCCTTTTGTCTACTGCTCTGACTCGTTCATTGTTTGATGTCAGTGAGGTCAGCCCAGTTTGTTTAGTAGCTTTTTGTGTAATAAAAAAAAATAAAAAAAGCTCCCTGCTTTGTACACACGGAAAAGCTTTGTGTACACTCTCTCTCCCTCTGCTCCTGAACGCAGCCTCCAGGTAAATGTCTTTCTGCTTGTTTAAAACGAGCCCAGTGGCCTCTTCATCTAAAACCCTGCTCTCTCTGTTTGCTACCAAAGTTAATCCTGCTATAGTTTCACTTTGAGCCACTTCTGAGAAGAAAACCCATTGAGCTGTGATATTTAAAAACAGCTTTCCTTGAAAGATATGCCTGATTCCAAAAGGTTTTGCTAAAAATCTTGAAGCAGAGACCTTGTTGTGATGTAAAACTCTTAAGTTTATGCAACAGAGGCTGGTACATGCTAAAGAAAACCAAAACTAACATCTGCTTCTGTTTTCATGGTGAGAGGGCTCCAAACACATGGGTAGGACCCGCTTTTTAGCATTCCTTTTGTCCAAGACGAAAATAATGGTGATCACATTGTGTAACTGACATTTTATGAATTCACCGCACCCACAAACCCTGCCAATATTGTCAGAGCAATTCAAAACAAATCACGCTGAGTGACAATGAGGATGACAGTGGAGCAGATGAGGCTGTTATAACAACTTTCCTTCAAGCCTTCCTACATGCTCATCATGAGTTAACGTATGGGGACAGGATCAAAAATAGCTTTGGTAGCACTTTAGCTCACAATCAAATACCCTGTGGGGACATTAAGCGCATTTTTTTCCCCCTCAGCTTGTGGTTCTGTATCACACATGTCAAGGAATTCAAGCCGCAAACCCAAAGCTAAAGAAACAGAAGGGCGATGGGCCTAACATGACAGCTCAGTGAGGCATGTGGCTTTGAATAAACAAATCAAGCTGAGAAAAAGAAAAAAAAAAAGCTGCACGAGCCGTTTCAGAAAATAAACATTCATTTTCACCAAAAGTATTCAAGCACTCACCCGACATTTGCAACAATTCATTCAGTTTGACTATATATGTGTTCGGATTGAAGTGATTTGGTCGGTTCAAAGCGCAAAGGCGAACCACCACATTGAAAGAGATGACGACCAATACTGCTTTCATTTCTTGGTATCTTATTAAAATGCAGCAGACACAGTTTGAGGAGGTGCAGCTGGGGAGGCTTGCCTTGCGTGAACCCAGTCAACCTTGATGCATTCAGCCATCCTCCTCCATTAACTCTGATCCTACGCCTGACATCACTGCCAGGACAACGATTAAATACCAACAGGCTGCACACAGTGCCGACAGCTTTCCTTGTACAAAAACTCTGGATCAGTTCCAGCTCCAGGGCATGACAGCTTACAGTAAAGCAACATATTTAAAAACCTGTTGCTGCTCCGTGAGTGTTGTTTTTCTGGATAATTTCTCTTTTCTTCCTTTTTACCATGCAAACTCTTAATTTTACAGTGCTGTGAAAAATTATTCATTTGTATTTGAGAAATGTAACTAAAGACCACATTTCTTAGCTCTATCATGTAGCTACTCATATAATCTCAGATGATTGCAGAATACAACCCATTGTAATCAGAAGTACTTTTAGAAGTATTTTTATATATATTTTAGACCTGCTCAAATGTATAAAAAAGAAAAAAGTGTAGACCTTTAAGATCCATCCATCCATTTTCTGACACGCCTAATCACAAGTTGGGTCGCGAGGGGTGCTGGTGCCCATCTCCAGCTGTCTACGGGCGAGAGGCGGGCAACACAGAGACAAACAGGACAGACAACCACTTACGCACACTTAAGGAGAATTTAGAGAAGCCAATTAAACTAACAGTCATGTTTTTGGTCTGTGGGAGGATGCCGGAGTACCTGGAGAGAACCAACGAATGCTCAGGGAGAACATGCAAACTCCATGCAGAAAGACGCTGGGCTGGGAATCGAACCCAAAACTTGCTGAACCCTCTTTAATAAAAAATTAAAAGTAACAGATTCTGAATAACTCATAAATGCAAACAAACAAAAAAACAAGCAGGTATTAACAGGACGGGAAGATGTGCCTCATTGCTGTATGAACAGGAGGAGGATGTGTATCGTCATATGAAACAAAAACTGCAATTTTATGAAACTAGCTCACCCCCCAAACACACCTTTTTCTCATGGTGACAGCAGCATCATGCTATGGGTCTGCTCCCACCTCCCTTTGGAATTAAAGGGAAGATGGTTACAACTAAATACAATTTGTTATTTTGCCTCCCTTTCTTCTCACCATCAAATTGTATGCAAGACCAATGAGGTTTGTGGTAGGTATAGTAAAGAAAACTTTTTTTAAAAATCCCAATGGTGTCTAAATAGTTGTACAAGACTGTCACAGCTGCAACAACATAGGGAAGCATGTCAGCGCCTTTTAAATCTAAAACATAATCTGCACAGTCAGGGGATGTGAAGAAATTGTATTAAGCAAATAAACTACTCCAGCCTTACTGTTTGAGACCTGTTAGGCAGGGTTTAAATATTTCTCTCTCTTTCTTTGGTGCTTATTTTTAAATCTAAACATGGATCACGTGTGTTAGGGGAAACGTATCTCCAGCAGAGATCAGGGGGAGGAAGGACTGAGCTAGGGTAGGGAGGGGCTGACCACCCAGAGAGACAGAAAGACATGTAAAAGATGAGAGATTCAACAGGCTCGATCATGTGTACAACAGCCTTTTAGCAGACTATGCTAAAAGAAGGAAAAACAGTTGGCCCCCGGTGCTCTGTCAAAGCTAAACAGCAAAGCAGCTAACTCCACAGTTTTTACGCAAAATACCACATTTTGTCATTTAATGTAATATAACACGACTTAAAATAGAATTCAACATGTTACATCGAAATAGTTAGCCAAAACTACGCTCTTAAAAACATAACAAGGTAGCTGTTGAACATGAACATCACGTACCTTTCAGTATTTTTGATGCTGAGCTCGCTTCTCTTACTTCCAGTCGGGATGTTTCGAGCTGTAGCGTTTAAAATCTCCGAATAGGTGACATATTTTTTCGTTAGAAGTGAGGCTGAAGCCCCTTAAAGGACTCTCAGATCCAGAGTGTGTTTTTTGTCGCTGTCCATGAACGTTTCACAAATAAGAGAAGCAGGAAACATCGGGCTTTTCCTGCTGCAGAAAGTTCCAATGAAATTAGTCACGGGAGCGCGCGGCTAGAAGCCTCTACTAGCAAAGCAGGCAGGAACTGTACATCCGGTGAGAGGTTTTCAAAATAATATCAGGGATGATTCTTTCTTTCTTTCTTTCTTCTTGTTTAATGGCGGTTGACAAGCAACTTATTGGTGTGCATTACCGCTACCTACTGGTAAGGAGTGTGGATCAGGACGCAACCTAAAAAAAAAAAAAAAAAAAAAAAACTAAATCCTTTCTATCAGTTTAGTTTTCTTAAGAAATCTTAATAAATGACGTAAATATTCAGAAGAGGAGCAATATCCCAACATATCTGATATTTTTAATTGTAACTTATTCTTTAGAAGTCGATATTCTAATTTCCTTCTCTCCTGAGAGTACTTTGGACAAAACAACAAAACATGTTCTACTGTCTCTTCTTGAAAACAAAATTCACAATTTCCTGATGGATGTCTTCCCATTATAAATAATGTACTGTTTAAGCCTGTATGACCAAAACGTAACCTGGATATGATATTATCTTCTTTTCTACTTCTTCCTGTTCCCCTCATTACCCCAACTTTCCTTTGAATGCTATAAAGCCATCTACCAGTTCTTTCCTCCTCCCACTGCTTCTGCCATCTTTCCTTAACCTTTTGTTTTATAATAGATTTTATCTCCTCTTTACTAAATGGAATCAGTATCTCAATGCAACTGTTTTTTGAAGCTTGTTTTGCATATCTGTCTGCCAATTCATTTCCTATTACTCATATATGAGATGGAACCCATGTAAAAATGACAATTAATCCCATGGTCTGAATTCTATAAAGTATTAACTGAATCTCCAATAGAAGGTCTGGTCTACTATTGGAATGATTATTTTTAATTGAATATAATGATGAGCTTGAATCAGAGCAAATTAAACTTCTTAGAGGACGAACATCTTCAATCCAACTCAAAGCCAAAATAATTCCCATCATTTCCCCTGTAAACACTGATACGTCATCAGAAATCCTCTTACATTTTTTAATATTAAATTCTGGGACGATAAATGACACCCCATTGTTGTTACTTAGGCTTTTAGATGCATCTGTATACACTTGAACATAACCAAAATATTTATTTTCTATATATGATTGGACTGAGCAAGATTCTGAAAAATTTCCTTTTTCCCTCTTCTTCAACAATGATAAGTCCACAATGATTTCATTAAATAGAGTTGGATGAACCAGTGGCAGAGGAACTGTATCACTCATTTTTATGGATGATAACTGAAAAATTTTAACATCATTTTCTATCTCCCAACCAAAGGATTTTAAAGTCTTTTTCCCTTTTTCCCAACTAGGTTTTAAAATTTCTTGACATGGATGGTTTTTATAATGACCCTTTAAATAACTCCAGTAAGATCATCTTAACTGTAATCTTCTAAGGAAAAGTGGTATTTCCCCCATTTCAACTAACAGAGCTGAGATCAGAGTTGTTCTGATGGCTCCTGTACACAACCTCAAGGCTTGAAACTGAATAATATCTAATTTTTTAAGAAGTGTTTCTGATGCTGATCCAAATGCCAGATTGCCATAATCTAATACAGATCTTATTAAACCCGTATATATTGATTTTAACGCTTTCCTCTCAGCGCCCCACTCTCTCCCCACCAAACACCTCATAACATTTAAAACTCTTTTACACTTATCTACTACTTTTTGAATATGACTACTCCAGGTCAGTTTTTCATCCATCCACAAACCCAGAAACTTAAACTCCTTTACTCTTTCTAAATCATGTTTATACAAATACAATTTTAAATCACTAGATACTTTCTTCCTAGTGAAAAATAAAGTCTTTCTCTTATCTATTATCAGGGATGATTCAATTCGGTATCTTATTTTGGAGATGAAAATAACTACGTTCAATTTTGCTTATACCTTAATTCTTTTAGGAACTTAGACAGATGTACCAGTTAAAAAGACACAAAACAGTAGGGGAATTAGGGTCTCACAGTGGTAAATACAAGTACACAACAGAAAAAAAACTTACAATACAAAACTTATCATATGAAAAGAGCACAACTTTACAGCAAAAATATAAAATACATCTAAAAAAAGACAACTCTGTGCAGTTATAACCTCTTAATATCCACCTAATTTTGCCTATTTTGCACACCCAAATGGAAAAGCAAATAATTTAGGAACTGTAAGCCCAAATAACATGTGTGATTCATTATTTGAAAACTAACACCTTCTAGTTTCTGAATATAAACATGAAAATTGGGTGAGTAAAACACCCAAGCTGCATCAGTTAACCTCTTAAAACCCAGAATTACCTAAAACCTTAGGATTACCCTAAATGAGGTGGATGTTAAGAGGGTAAAGCAAGATTCAAAGTTTTTTTTTTTTTTTTTTTTATAGGTCTTTTTTGAACATCAGTTATAAACACATGCTTGCTTGTTGTGGCTGCTTTGTCATGGTACATTTTGACATGCTGCTATATCTGTATTAATTGTGCTTTGGTGCTCGCTGTGTCCATAAAATCAACAGGTGGTTAAATTGTGGAGAATCTAAGCTTTCGATGTCTAACATGTCTATTTTGGTAAACATTTAACCAGTGTAATTTTCATGCATTCTGAGTTATTATTTGTAAACACTTTAAAACGAGTTTTGAGAGGATAATACTATTATTAATAATAAATAAATAAGCTATTTAACATACAGTTGATTTATTACAGCAGTACCCTGTAAAACATGAGGAAAATTCAAGCTAGAAAGGTGAAGAAAAACATCAGCAGGTTTACAAAATTATTGTAAAAATGTGACCGAGCATGATTTCAGAAAAACATACAACACTGAAAATAGGTAAGATTTATGCAGATTAAAATTAGTATCAGTTAAGAAAGAAACAACAACTGACCATTACTTTAATTTGCATATCAAATAAACAATCTCATGCTAAAAAATATTTTGACTTGTTTTAATAATTAACGTGAGGAAAATATTTACAGTATTCCATTAGGGCATTCAACGGTTTTCATAATTACTCTTCTTATATTCAACTCACCCTACTGTATATGTACTGAAAATCAAAATGCAGTTTATCTTTCTAACCACAATGACTTAGAGGATGCAGTATAAAGATAAAGATTATAAATACTACATAGAGCTCAATCCAAAAAAAGGGGGAAATACTTTTTCACAGAACTGTAAATGCAGCAGAACTATAAATGACAGTGGCTCCCTGCGTACAGGTTTGGAGACCTCTGACATGTGGGAACCAAAAAAAAAAGTGTGATTAATTGAACGTTTTTGACTTACTGGAAAAACATCGTATGGAGAAGGAATGATGGTACAGATGAAGAAAAACAATTAAAAAGCATCCATACACTCAAACATATAGACGGCAGTAGCATTGGTAAGGTAATCAGAGTTAATGGGGAAATGTAAATCGTGGAAGAAAAGCTGTTGAGACTGCAGATGTCTTGAGTCTGAGACATGAGTTTGACTTCCAACAGGAAAATCATCCAAACTGGTCTGACTCCATTTTAGTTTTACTCAAATGATCCGCTGAAATCAGTAATGATTGTAAAACTTAGTAGACTGCTGAAGATGTATCGTTACCATCCTCAAATTAACACCGATTAGAAGAAGTCACAAGTCTGATTCCTTTAAATATTATCCTATGACCTTTCCTAAATGTTGAATTTTTTCCCTATTTTTAGACATTATTTCATAATTGTTGTCTTCTTAGGGGAGTCAAGTGATTTAATGTATGAGGGACTTTCGTTTTGATCTTGATAAAATAGTTGCATTTTGACTTGCTTCCTCCTGTTTTTTTTTTAGATTGCACAATGAACATAGAACTAACTTGGACTTTTATTTTCTGTGTAGGAGGGGTAATTCCTGCCTCTCCACAACTAAGAAGCACTGGTCTATCAGGAATCAACAATATCACCTACTGGAGGAACCTTTGCCTTACTTAAAGTGTTTTTAAATTGAAAATAAATGAGTAAATAAATAAATCTTACTTGAAACCATTATCATAAAACATAAAGATTTTTAAGTCAAACATTTTATACCCAGTGGGTTGCACAGACATTTTAGGGGGCAGGAGCTCAAGTAGAAAAAAAAGACACTTTGTGTGGCGCATGGCACTGCTCGCTGTCCTAGCAGTGTTATCATTGTGTGTTTCCTGTTTTAAGGGATCATCCTCCTTGGTGCCGTGTCTTTAAGTATTGTAAGCTATCCAGTTGTAATGCACTGTTGTAAGCTTCTCCCTCACTGTTTAATATTTGATCACTGCTGCACTTTATGGAATGGAAATGTTCATTTTCTGTCTGAAAAGCTGCACTAAATAAAATTTCCTTTTTTTTTATACAATCTGTGTATACAAAATGACAAGTAAATAAAATAAAAGTTGTCTAAGCCTAATGAGCTCGCTGTGTTTGATTGGAATGTTTTTCAATCAATTGCAAGCAGGAGCAGGCGGGAAAGTTAAATCTGAATCTGACTCTGCTGCAGGTTTCTTCCTGTTAAAAGGGAGTTTTTCCTCTCCACTGTTCTTACAAGAATTCTTGGTGTGAAGGATTGCTTTGAGTTAATGAGTCGATGCAATCAACAGGTTTTCCTTAGATAGAAAACTCTGAATCAATTTGACTGTATGATCTGGTTGAATTGTAGAGTGCCTTGAGATGACATGTGAATTGAATTGGCGGTATATATATATATATATATATATATATATATAAAAAAATGAATTCAATGGAATTTAAAGCAATTTTTCTCCACACAGAATTCTTAGTTTGTTCTTAATCATTGTCAGCATTGAAAAAGATCTCTCCACAAAAGCTGTTGTTACTGGCAGTGTTGCATAGATTTGTAAAATCTTCTCAAAGGTTGCAGATATGAGTATGGCAATGATTTTGTTGAGATCTTTTGAAGGAAATCTTGAGTGGAAGACTTTTTGTTTCCTCCTCAGCTGGTCCTCGTCTTCTTCATAGAAGTCACAGAGGATCCTGACAGCTTCGTTTTGTATATATATATATATATA